ATCAGACAATGAAGGTATGATAGGTCGGGGCATATTATGGTTGAGGAAGATCTGCATTTCTTTACCTACCGAGACAATTTATAAACCGTTTGATATTATTTTATTTAGAGTAATCGACTATGCATTAATTATGTGGCGAAACCGGAAGCATAACAGTCGATGACTCATCAACTATGTGGCCAAACTATTACGCATAATTTGACAATCGAATTTATAAAATATCATGACAACTCATAATCACACATTTTGCCCATAACAATCGGACAAATTTAAAATAATATATATTTTATTATTGTTGAAGTTTTGTTGGTTGATGTTACAAACTTTTATGATACTATAAATAGACCTCGTTGAATAATTATCAGTATAGAGAAACAACAACGCTCAAACCAATATGGCGATGAAGATGATCAAGAACCATGTAAGATCTATAAGCTTACCTTCAAGATCTCATCCTAGCACCGCAGCGATTGAGGAGTCGCTGGAAAAATTTATTATCACTATGAACACGTCGACAATGACGTCGTCTGAGTCGGTTTACTCCGGTTTATCGGGGCTGGAGGATCTCTACGACTGTACCGAAGATCTTCTGAAGATGGGTTCGACGCAAAGGGTGTTGTCGTTTAATGATGAGAAGAAGAATAAGAAGAAGAAGATGAAGGGAGAGTTTATGGAGGAAGTGCTTGATGGTTCGTTGAGGCTAATGGATATATGCAACGTCTCGAGGGATCTCATGGTTGAGACTCATGAGCATGTTCTTGGTCTTCAGTCTTGTGTTAGGAGAAGGAAAGATGTCGATGTCTCGGGCTATGTCGGATTGAGGAAGAATATGAGGAAAGAAGTGAAGAAGCTTCTTGGATCCTTAAAGAACATTAATGTAGGGTTAGTGATGATGAGAGATCATGATTGTGATCAAGACGGTGATATTCATTTCTTGGCCGTGATTCATGCAATGAGACGTGTCATTTCAATGACAGTTTCGGTCTTGAAGTCATTCTTGGAGTTCTTGTCGGGACGACAAAACGGGAATGACATAAGGAGCAAGTTGGCTTTGGTCCTCATGAACAAGAAGTTTCATGATCATGATAAGATGGTGAGAAACGAGTTGGAGAGTGTAGATTCCGCGATTTGTGGAGATTCTATCTCTTATGATGATCTTCATGTGAAGCTTGAGGAAGTTGAGGTATGGATTGGAAGGTTCGAGAAGAGTCTAGAAGGATTGTTTCGAGGGATGATTAGAACACGAGCCTTGCTTCTCAACATAATCTCTCAATAGGTGTATGTAATATTGTCATCTTCGTGGGCATTCAGTTTTAGATGATTTGCCGAAGGGTACATTATACAAACATAAGATTTTGTAAACACTAGTTAATTTCATTTTATAAAAATATATATTCGTTATTTAAAAAAACAAACACACAATTTTGCGTGTACACGTTTTTGTATCACTTGGTAATTGATGTCACATTTGAATCTCTGATTTCATGCTCTAGCAATTCTTTCCACAACTCCACAAAAACCCGCTATATTTTCACGAGTTTCGACAATAAACTCATTATCTAATCTTCTTTTGTTTGTCCAGCCTATACATTTGGAAGCAATGAGAGGTATGTTCATAAAATTACTTGACCCGGGTCTAGTTATTAAGTTTTGTATTAATGGTCGGCTCTGCTTAGCATAGAATTTAGGTTTAAAATCTCGAGTAGTTGTATGAAAAAAATCTCTTATATATTATTCTATGTTCTTTTCATCTTTCCAATGTAGAATAATTTTTAAATCTTCTTAGGACCGGCTTTGTTAAACATATTTTTTAACATGTTTAGACCCCAACCTTTTAAACCCCTACATGTTTAGACCCATCAAATTTACATTAGCCGGGATAAGAAGCAGTGAGGCTTTGAGGTTTTTTTGAATAAAATAAAACTCTAAGTTTAAAACGACAATGTTTTGGGAAAAAAAAATTAAATGGACAACCAATTTAACTTAAAAGAAATCCGCTAAGCCCACAAAATTAAAAGGTTCAACCTGTTTAGGCTCTTTTTGATTTATAGTGTAAATAAATAGATCACAACCTAAATTTTACATTGAACCCGTTTAAACTCTCAGGCTCTTAGCCTATTTTAACATCACTCCATCTTTTTTTCTTTTTTTAATCAAAATAGTGTACTTAAGAGTTAAGACTAGGCAATCAGTCAAATATGTCTAGGATTTTGGTCAGATTGTTCGATTTTTGTGTAAAAGAATTTTGAATTGCAACAAATTATAGTTTAATTGACAATCGGTTTGTTCGGTTTGGGTAAAAAAATTCCGAATTGAAAACCTAAGTTTGTTTTAGACCCCCAAATTGGCTCATTTTATCAATTTTGGTACATTTGCAAAGTTCGGTTCAGTTCAAAAGTTCGGTTTAGACCAAAAGTTAGAAGAATGAAAAACAAAATCTGAAAGTTGTAGATTTTTCTTTAAAAAAACTGCTAAACCAGAAGAACTTTTTTAAAAGTCCATCAAAATCTTCAGATATCCTTCAAAATCTCCCCAAATACAAAATCTAAAAAGTCTTCCAAATTTGAAATCTCCAATACACCACATCTTTTAAGGATTGCATAAATTTGTTTGCAAAACGACATGAAAATCATCGTACGAAAACATTCAAGATATATGATGAATTATTTGGTTGATGCCACGTCAGTTATAAAGATAAGATTTCATAAAGATAAGATTTCATAATACACGTCAGCCCTAACAAAAACATTGTAAAGTTTGACGTGTACCTATAAATAAGGAGGTTCAAAGCAGAAAGAGCAAGCAAAAAAAAAATCCTAGAGACTTACGCCGCTTCGAAGAGTTCCAACATTTCAAGAGATCTCTAAGATTCGGCCACACCAAAATACCATTAGAACCTAAACAACACAAAATATTTTTTTCTTATCAATCTGTAAAACTCTCGATCGATCTGAAACAATTAAAATTTACCCAAACACCGTCGAACCCCAATTCTTTTCTTTCACCGTCATAAACAGCAGTGCCGACATATCCTCCGACCAAAATCTACCAATATAAATATAAATTTCGCATAAAATAAATTTCTCTTTGTTAATTAATTAATTTTTAAATCATAATTGACATTTCACCAAAAGAATTTTGTTTTTAATTGATATTCAACTAGATCACCTTTCAATTTATTCATTTTCATTGTTTTTTTTGGTCAGCAAACTCATTGAGCTTTTTCTCAACTCTTTAAGGTTTTAAAGGAAGTAAAGTTGAACTCTCGTGCTCAAAGATCTGCACAGGTAATTTTCTTGACTTGAGCTAGTGGATCCGACCATTTATTCTTTTTTTTGGACGAAAGGATCCGAACATTTATTCATTTTCATTTATATTTTTTTGTCAACAGCTTTTAAATTTTTCATTTTCATTTTTTATAAGGAAATGAGTGAATTTTGTTTCCCTATAGACTAAAAATGCACTATTCATATTTTTATTCTTTAAAAGGCCAAAGCACAACTATTTGGAGCGTTAAAACAACCATAGTAGCAAAACAGGGGAGAGAAATGAGTGATTGGTCTAAGTTACCGGAGGAGCTTCTTGGCGTAATCGCTGCTCGATTGTTCTCCATGGTCGAATTCAAACGCTTCCGTAGCATCTGCAAATCGTGGCGCGCCTCTGTCTCCGGCACTAACAAGAACCTTTTCCTGAGCTGCCCTCTCATCAAGTTCAAGACCCTCCAATGCATGGTCTCTTCAATCCAAGCAAACGAACAAAGTTTGGGCCTCCGCTATGGCCCGTTCCTCTCGCGCGCCGCTTTCTTTCGCGTCACTCACTCCTCCTCTCGGGACCAAGGGTGGTTGATCAAATCAGACAAGGATCTCAACTCCGGGAAATTCCATCTCCTCAACATTCTCTCGCGCCTCGCACTACGACATTCGTGCAAGCGCATTGATCTTTCGTGCAAGCGCATTGATCTGTCAGAATTCATATTCTCCGAGATTCAAGAAGCTTATGCGGTTCTAGAGGGCAAACTGAGAAAAACAGCTCGCGGATTCCAAAGAGTGTTTTTTGTCAGAGTCCCAGGAGGAGATCATCGTGTTCTAGTGATCGGCATCGACGGGGTGATCAGGTACTGGAAAGACGAAAAATGGATGAGAGTCGAAGGACAAGTAGAGCAATTCTCTGACATTGAACTTGAAAGAGGTCTTACTTACGCCTTGGATACAAAAGGGAGTGTTTGGTGGATTAGTTCCTCTTACAACATCTCCAGGTTCGGACCATCAATATATAAAAACATCACTAACAGATCTTCCGGAGAAAAAAGGTTTGTAAGATGTGGTGGAGTGCTTTACATTGTAGATCGTCTCATTGACGAGAATCTCCTAAAGAGAAAAGCTGATTCCTTGAATGGTAATGCCATTGTTCATATCTGGAATAATTTTCCCAATCCTCATATCGTGGATGGTAATGCCAATGCTGGTTTCTTGGATGATAATGCCAATGCTCATTTCGTGGATGCTAATGCTAATTTATGGGATAATAATGGCAATGCTGGTTTCATGGATGCTGATCCCGTTCGTTACCGTTTCGCAGTGCTACACGACGATGTTGGGAATGTAAGTTGTGAAGTGTTTGAACGTGACCGTCCCAAAACGATAGGTTTCAAGGTTTACAAGATGGATGATGAATTGGTGAAATGGGTAGAAGTTAAGTCCTTGGGAGAAAATGCGGTTATGATGGCTACCGATACTTGTTTCTCGGTTTTGGCTCATGAGTTCTATGGATGCCTGCCAAATTCTATTTACTTCATGGACAAGGAAAAAGAGATTAAGGTGTTCAAGCTAGATGATGGTAGTATCACAACAATGTCGAAATCTCAGAAGAGTTGTTTCCAAATGTTTGTTCCTAGCTTTCTCTAAATCTTGTTTAGGTCAAAGCTAATTTTTATGTATTAAGAGTACCAACCATCTGAATAAAAACTTTACCTTTCATCTTCGTTTTCAGTATAGACAAAGTGTATTGAAATATATTCATTTTCGGTATCATCACGAAGCATTGAGATGTTTTAGCACTGCTTCAGAAGAATGACGAGCGAAGTGCTTCTGCCTTAGCTTCACATAAGGATACCCGAGGAACGACAAGAAATGAGCTGGCTTTGAGAACGACGTTATCTCATACCATACTTCACCATTTCCGTCAAGCTCTATCGAAAACCGTTCTTCTCCAGCGAGTAAATGACCCTGAAGAGTACCGCTTCCGTAACTGAAATGCGCAGGGCCTTTTCTTGATTTCCGGCTTTCGTCAACATAAACCACTTGCAGAGGAAGCATCACCCACGGAAGAACTTCTTTCACACAAATGCAAAACTTCTTACCGGTTTCAACAGGAGTTGCAGGATCAACAAATGTCCAATCCATACCAAAATGCCTGCAATTTTTCAGATAGAAATCAATAAGAACAGAACCGATTGGTGTTCTTGAGATGAATAAAGAGCAACACATACTTCCAATTCTGTAGAGCTTTTTTGCCCTTCTCATAACTCTCTCTACCCGAACCGACTAAAACACGAGCATGATTGATCAAGAATCCATCTTTATCAACCTCTGAATCTTCCTTAAGTTTAGCTATAGACCTAGACGAAACTCCTCTGTACTTGTTGTCATAATTGAAGGTTCCTGTTCTGCATTATAAAAAGCACAAACTCAGAGAGAGCTTTCTAGTGCTCAAAAAGATTTTGTTTTTCTTTCTAAGTAACGATTTTGATTCTTACTTGTTGATTACTTGTTGCTGTTGCTCGGAAGATGGACGACCCCAACTCAAGAACACCATCTCTTCCACAGCAATTGATGCAGACCCACTAAAATAATAATCAAAAATCCAAACTTTGAGCTATTTCTACATTCGAATTTGGGAGATGATTCAGAGGTGTAGAGAGAAGAACCTGCAAAAAGCTTCACAAACCAGAGGCGTTTAATCCCAAATTCATTCGGTTAGTGGAGCAGCTCCAGAGATTTATTATCCTAATCATAATGTCGTTTCCTTGCCAGAAAACGGCCCGGTGTTCGTTACTAAATGTCTTAAACGACACAGTCCCAACTGTTTTGGGCATTGTTTGTTTTCAGATGGAAAAAGATAGTAATTGTTGTCATTTTGTATTCGTTTTTATGATCCGAAAACAAATGAGAAACACAATACATTAAATGATACGAACATAATATAACTATGCCACTGCCAGTGAAAATGATTTAAGTCTAATTGAATATGCAACTCTATTAAACTTCCTTTCTTATGAAAGAAAAAAGAAAAAGAAGGAAAAAGTATTAGGAGTTTCTAATTTCTATTGTGGAAAGGAATCAAAGAGGAGAAAACACTCTCTAAGGTAAAAAAAACTAGATCAAAAAGAAACTGTACAAGGAAGGCCACAAAATAATGCCTAGAATCGTTAAAAGTGATGATGATCAGAAGAACTAGTAACGGGGCTTTCTGAAGGGAGCAAATAAAGACATGCACTGCTTGTCCTTGCTAGGGTCCTCATCTCCAACCTGCTTTGTTTTCACCACATCCCTGCTCTGAGATTCTCTCCTTGTAAGGTGTTTTTACTCTGGAGATCACACTACGACGTTTACCTCTTTCATTATCTGTTGTAGCATTTCTATGATTTCCTCAAACAGTGGTCTCTGTGCCGGGTCTTGATGCCAGCATCTCTCTAGAAGTCCCTTCACTTTTGGGTGTGTTTTCTTTGGAATCTTTGGTCGAAGCCCCTGAAAAACCAATTTCAATTTAGCCTCTGGATCTCTAGGAAGACAAAAATGAGACACTAAGAAGCAGCATACCTTTTGGACAACGCCAACAGCTGCTTGTAGTGGAGTCAAGAAAGCATATGGGATCTGTTTCCATTGACAAATGCATGATACATCAGTATCTCTCTAATTAGCATGAAAGATTCAGACAGAGAATTGTAAGCAGATAGGTTCTTACGTCACCAGTCAGAAGTTCCCATAGCACTATCGCATAACTGAACACATCTGCCTTGTGATTGTAAGGTTTGTGCTCAATGACCTGGGTTTTCGCAAGTTTATTGTCAAAGTAAGAGAGCCAGATCAAACAGAGGACTCCAAAAGCTTATTTTTATAACAAACACGTAAAGCCAGATCAATCAATATATTTGAGGTATAAAACTCATACATACCTCTGGAGCCATCCACCGGTAAGTCCCTGTTTCAGCTGTCATGACTCCTGATTCAATCTGCACTCTGGCAACTCCGAAATCAGCAACCTTGACAAGCTGCTCAAATTATCCCAAGGTTAGAACCCTAGAGTCTGGTGATTCTAGTAGAAATAAAAGAGGTTCATAGAGGTAAAAGATAAAGAAATCTTTGCAGAATTTAATTTCAATGGTTTATTAAAGACTACACTATGCATAGCCAGAGAACAAGTCTTACTCCATGTTCATCCATAAGAAGATTCGCAGTCTTAAGGTCCCTGTGAATAATGTTGTTTTGATGCAAATAGCTCATTCCTTTTGCTACATCAAGTGCAACTTTAAGCAAAGTTTGAAGTTTGAAAGCGCATTTCTGTTTGTGAAGAAAATCATATATGCTCCCTCGAGCCATAAACTCTGACACAAACATAAAACAAGTCAATTCAAATGACATATTTTTGTGATAATAACTCATATTCTCATCTACTAAGAACTTACCAGTCACTATACAGAGCGTTGGAGATCTTGTGCATGCACCCAAAAATTGAACGACGTTTTTGTGTCGAACTTTCCTACAGGCAGTTAAAGCATCAGTAACAAATGACAATGAAGCATGCATGTTGGTTACTTAATACATCAAAAGAGGTTTAACGTAGGACAAGGACTGACAAAATTCAAGCCTGCTCTTGAATATAAATGTCAGACAAGGGTATTGTTGATGCCAGTCAGGCATGTTTCTGTATATGAAACTATGAACTACTATGCGAATATCCACATGACGCTGAGAATTAATTACACCGACCTCATTATAAAAACTTCTTGAGAAAATTCTCTAAGCATCTCATTGTTTACACGCTCAGGCTTGAGAAATTTGATAGCTACTTCCTGACTGCAATAAGTGCCTCTATGCCTGCATAGCCATCAAAAACAAATTACTCTAACTTCTAAACAAGAACTTAGAGTTTTCAAAACGAGCTAACATAACAATAATACTCACAGATCCCCATATGAACCAGATGCCACTTTCTTTTCAATTTTGAGCTGTGACACGTCAATTTCCCACTCATCAGTTCCATCCGTGGGTATTTCAATGCAGGCGGGTATAAGCTCATTGCTTGATTTGTCATGCTCAAAGAAAGCAATAGATTTCTGTTTTGAACCAGGTTGATCCTGTAGAACAGCCAGGGAAAATATAGGGACAGGACAACTGTCAAATTCTGTCAAATTTTTGAAGTACAAAAAACAGCAAGACCTATATCTAGTATCACACTAAGGTAGGGCATTTTCTCGTGATGTAAAGCATTGCATCCTCCAAATTCATAGTCAGAAAATACCTTAAGCTTCAATATCTCTTTGCTCAATGCATCCTTCAGACCATCTGTTTCCTATATTTCCAAAGTGCATAAGTTTCTCAGTTAGTGATAACAGACAGAAAGGTATTCAAGATCTCTTAAGTCATTCAAAATCGTTAAGTCATTCTCGAAAAGCTAAAACCACCATACCTCCTGAGACCAACCATCAACTACAAAGACATCTAGAGAGAAACCATCTACAGTGGAAAAAGCATGAGCCTCTTGAATATTCAGTCCAAGCTCACCAAGCAGGGAAGTTAGCTGAAACAGAAAACATTTTTCTCACTCAACTAATCACAGATATGGAAGAAATAACCATCCATCCTCTACATGACAGTGTGTAACGAAGCATAAACTGTGGCAATGTTTATGCAGCAAACAGTGCTGTTAGACTAAGAATCACCAACCTGGCTAAGGAGTTTTGGTTTATCGATGGTTGAAAATGTGATCTCGTGCATTGGTCTGCATGAAACAACAAAGCATAACATCAGTGCACATAGAATTATACTTAAACATGAGAGAAAATATGAATATATACAAAAACACAATGAACAACAAACAAGAAGTCTCACCGAGTAGACAATGTTGCATTCACAACACTATCAACATCTTCAACCATTTTACTTCCCTGAGTAATAGCCTCAAAATTTGGAGAAGAACCAAAAGTTGGAGGAGCAAGAACCCTTTTGACAGAAAGAAAGGGCATATGATTAAAAAGTAATTACAACAACGCTGAAAAGTATTCAAGATCGATCTCAATTTCATAAAACTCCATACCCCTGCCCGCTTGGTTGGTGAGAGCTTTGAGCATCTTCCTCCACCGCAGGGTCAGAGTCAGCAGAGCTTCTAGGAGAAACCTGTAAGAAGAAACCAATTAACACAACAAAACCAAAAAATTTCTTACGAAGATTCAAGTATTGGCTCAAGCTTTTAGTACCTGTACACTACGAACTTCAAAGACAGGCCTAGTTGCAGGATCTTCAGCCAATTTTAGTAATCTCTGATGAGTAAGAACATCTTCCGCTCTCTCAACTTTAACATCAAGAGCATATCTGAAACAACATGCAAGAACAATGCCAAATGCAAAACTTAGAAATCAACAACAACACACCAAGAAACTTCATTCAATAGATCGTTTTTAGATCAAGACACGTGTAGAGAAACGCAAAAGATTCAGTTTTTTTTTGGTCTCATAGAGAGAAAGAGATCAGTCACTGTCGATGAACATATACACTTAGAAACAAAATTGAATAATCTAAAGTAACGAAATTTCAAGATACTACTACGCCCGAAAGCAAAACCCTTATCCTCAAAATCCAATTTGATCAAATCCTAAGATAGTAAGAAAAACCCTAATCAATGTACGAAGAGTACCGAGCAGGAAGACGATTGAAATGGAGCCAAAGTTGATCTTCGAAATCAGGAAGAGTGGCTTCTTCGTAATTAGATTCTTGAAGTCGCTGTAAAACCTCACTGTAAACATCGAGTTTCATCCGGTAATGTCTAGGGTTTTCTTGAGCCGGCGAAGCAACGACGGCTCTACTACCGCAACTCTCCGACTCATCTTTGATCGTCATCGGAAAACAAAATCCACGGCGGTTGATCGGAAAAAAAAGAAAAGAAAAGTGAAATCTCTCAAAATCCGGAAAAAAAGACGAATGATCTAGAAAGAATGATCCAAGATTCCAAATTATGAGAGAGAGATCTTGAGAGATTCTTATAGACGCGACGAGAAAAAAAAAAAAAAAGGATTAAAGAGAAATTGAGAGAGATTTTTGGGCTTAGAGTGAGGAGAGGAACGTTACTGTGTGTGGTGTTACACGTAGGGAATAGCCACGTCATCATTTTATTTTAGATTTTTTTTTTTTTTTAGATAACAAACCAAAAATTTGATATTGGTAGATTTATGATTTACTATGATTTATGATTAATTGATTACTATAATAACTCTAATGATGTGATTTTATGATATTTAAATTCATATATGGAAAGGTTCAATTAATGTGTACATTTAAGAATTGGAAGAAAGATAGATTTAATTTTGCTTTAATTGTTTTTAAAAGGTAGTTGAGATTAAATTTAATTTATTTTACTATTTAAATTTACGGTTCAATATGTCAACTATACCACTCAACACAATTACTTTTTGTCGAATAGTATCAATCATCCCAGCTACTTGGAGCTCAAAATTTTGAATTTATCTCTTGAAACAGTTGTAACTCTATTTTAAATAGTGTCGTTGTTGAATAATATTAAAAGAAAAAAATGTGTAATTCTCATTAGTTAGGTTAGGTCAAACATATTCTTTTGGAAGCGATGAGTATTTTATTGGTGTAATCTTGACTTAAACCAATGGTGTTAATGTGAGTATAACTTATTAGGGAAATTGCTGTGTGTGACATTTTCTATTTAAGCAATTAAGAATCAAGCAATAGCAATTATTAAAACATAAACTAGTGGTAGTGGAAGAAAAAGATGAGGAAGTTTGAAAAGATAATCCCCAATATACCAGTCGAGGAAATATGGAAGAAAGGAGGTTTTGATTAGTAATAAGTAACATCGTATCAATGCAGTATATATAGAGTTTAATGTTTTAATAATCACTAATCATAAAAGTAGTATCAAATTAAAAATGGTGTTTTCAATTCTTTTGTATCACTATTTTGAGGGTACATTGCTCGTAGACAATAATGTAAGTAAAAATAAACGTTTATGTTTCAACGAATCGCATCATAGGAGGATGGTCGACCAAATGACATTCTTATGGAAGGATTGTTACCAATGTTGGGGAGAGAAGACGAAAGGAAAGCTCTTCCTTTTCAATTTGGCTCATGCAAACCTGCATGTGAAGAATGAGAGAAGCTCCTTGCAAACAAAGAGTTTGAGTTACAACAAAACACTACATACAATATGCGATTTTAAATTTAGATATAGTCATTCACAACTACAAAACTAACATAAACACGTTATATATCCCGGTCAATATTGATATGGTTTTCATCTACAAATAGATATACAAATTTTATATTCGTAGTGGTGTTACTTCAATTAGAAAGAAATAAATAAAAATTGCGTGCCAGTTTAGTTAGAAGATTCAATGAATGATAATTCTACTATTTTTATGTTAACTTATACTGTTCCTGAATTAAATACGTCGTTAATTACCCCACTTGTACAAAATTAGTGGTCCATGAGCATATTAATATCGACAATCACTACTTGTTGCAATTTTATAATACTAATAACACAGTTAACGAATTAGATTGTCGATGGTATCCGACATCATTAATGACAAATTCAAAACAGTGACTGGATCACAAATTATTGGATAAGAAGTTTGCCTTACTACTAATTGTGATTAAATAAGTAATCAAGAGGAAGAAGAAGAAGAAAAATGAGATTTGAGGACATCTTCAGAGGAATATGCTGACATTGACATACATAAACAAATAATCCACATGTGTGCTATATAAATATGTATTATTAGATTAACTACAAGTTGAAAGAAACAAACTCAAAACGTCCATAAGGAGACATAACAAGCAAGACGTCCGAGAGAGAAAGATAGAGCACATTTTTAATTTTATTTTGGCTAGTTCTATGGATGCTCAATCACAAAACCCTAACATACTTTTGCTAAGACCAAAAATTTTTATCTAGCTCACCTTGAATCACGATTGGGTCTCCTCCTGTCTGCATTTCCATAAAGAGAGTTAAGACTAATAACAAAATATACACGCTATTAAAACATATAGCATTGCAATTGAAAACACGTTATAATATATTAACAAAATATAGCACCACAAAAAACGCTATCGGAAGCCGTCCACCTATTATCATGGGCATAGATATAGCGTTTTCTACTCCGCTATCATCCCGTTAAATAGCGTTGTTTGGACGCTAAGGATAATCATTTTTCCTGTAGTGTGGAAGTGAATACTTACAGGTGACTGTCTTGGTGACCTACGGTGTCCATAATTATCACGCCTATAGTATCATAATTGTAACCTCACCTTCAAAGGTCCGGCTTTTACCATTATCCCAGCGCTTTTCATGTCAAGATAGTGCCCTGGGGTAGGAGTTTTTGGGCGCTTTCTCCGCGACCATAGAAAACAGAGTATTCAAAGTACATAAACCAAACAATTTCAAGTTCACCAAAGAAAATAAAAAGAGTAAGATCAAGCGGGAAATGAATGAATGCAGCTGGTGAGCATACAAAAAGAAAAAAGCTAGCAATACCATAAAACCCTTCACCAAAAGTTGTTGATATTGTCCTCTATTTAGTTGAGAGTTGAAGTTGTATAGATGTTGGGGTTGGGCAATATATGATAAGAGTTGTTCATGATCATTTGGAAAAGCTGTTTAAGCTTGGGCCACTGATCAAGCTGTGTTAAAGATGATCATCTTTTGATTGCTGAAGCAATATAATTTCTGACCTATGGTATTAGGTTGCATTTGCATTTACTTACTAAAGCACACAAAGCCCACTATCAAATAGGCCCATTAGCCCAATCTAACAACGGCAGAGATCAGAGTCAGTTACGACGGCGCTGACCAAAGAAAAAACGCGTCTCTGGAGAAAATTCGTCCCAGAGAAGAAGAAAAAGACGAGAGAGGAGGTGAAGAAGAAATCACAATTGAGAGAGAACCAACAATGGCTTTAACGATCTACACTTGCAAAGAATGCGGATCAGATCTAAATCTAAACCCTAACGATTTATTTCCACCGGATTTCTACTTCGAAGCCGGTAACAAAGGAACGCTCTCATTCGCCGCCGTCGACGCCGAGAAATTCCGTTTCGAAAAAGAAGATAAGATCATGCCTTTCTTCGAAACCCTAAATTACTGGGGAATCCAACGGAAACGAACCAAGATCAAGTGTAATAGTTGCAACCACCTCATCGGCTACATCTACGACGATGGTCCTCCGCTCACTGGCGGTATTGGTCAATACGGATTCGGTCCGAGTCAGGTCATTCCTCGTGCTCCTCGGTATCGATTCAAAACCAAGGCGGTTCAAGTCTCGTCCCAGACTTAGCTGAAGCTAAAGGGTTTAAGGCTGTACATAGATATGTATAAACTTGTCAAAAGGGTTAATAGGATTGTAGATGTTTGTTGCTTAAAAATCAGATCATAAGGCGGTTAGACCTTTGTGTTGCCTTCATTCTTGGCGCTCGCTTCACCAAAAGCGCCAAGACAGATGACAACAAGGAGGTTTAACCGCCTCCTGAGCTGATTTTTGTTACTTGCTTTTGAAGAAACATCTACTATCCTATTCTCTGTTTTATCTCTTGTCTATTGTAGAATCCGGTATAGTGAATCGGATCGAGTAGCTAGTTTAGTTAAGATATGTGGTTGGCTTGGATTTTGATCATATATGTAATGTTTGTGTTTGTTGTGAATTTGAATCACATGGTTTCGGGATGATTGTTCGTCGTTCGATGATTTGGTGATGAATCTTTTCGTATTTTGTTCAATAAGCATCGGTGTGTTTTATTTGGTGATTCGTTTATCTTGTGGGAGTAATTCACTATTCAGTCGTTGAAGTTTTGTACGAGGAACGTTTTTTAAAAACAAGTTCCATAAGCTTAAAGAGAAAGTGAAGAACAGAGCAAAAACTAATAGTGTTAGTTTAATGGAGGACGTCATATGAAAATGACATTTTGGTGATATTGATTGTGACCTCCATTTATGATTCAACGGCTGTGATTGGATGATGTAATATTAGTTGCTTCAAGACCATATATTTTGTATTATCCACAGACTACCTAATTGCTTAAATTATTGTTGATGATGATAAAGATTAGAAGTTACATCTACTTGTCTTTTCTTGTATAGTTGAGTTTAGTATAGTTTGTCTTAACGTACAAGATAATTTGAAGGGTAGACGTAGACGTTGGATACTTCCTTTGGTAGGCTCTGAAGAATCTTAGGTGTATCTCTTTAGTTTGAAGGTTAGATTCAGAATCTCTCTAGATTCATCAGTAGCTTTTATTTTTGTGTGATCTTTGTGTTGTATATATAGATCAAAGTGATTTTTTAGCTGGTGAAAGGTGACGTTGTGGTATGAGTATGAAGAAACAGATTATGGATGAGTCTGAGAAGTCATTGATGCCGCCTCCTCCTCCACCGCTTCCTCCATCTCCGGGATATGGATTTAGAAAGATCCATGGAGACAGCATCACCAATAAACAGATCAAGAAGTTCTGGAGACAAAAGGAGATCATTGAAGAGGATCATCTCTTTTCTGCTATTAAGGCTGCAGCTCGTGTCAGAGCTCGTAATCTCTCTGTACGTCCTTTTGCTTTTAACAATTCTTGTGTGGTTGTTTAGATCGTTGAAGAGGAAAATCGATATTTCTTGATCTCGTGCTTTCAACTCAATCGAGATCAAGATGGTTCTGATGTCTATTGCAGGATGAGGACTACAAACGCTTTGAAGAAAGCCTGGACATGGAGGACCTGAAAACCGAAGATCATCAGGGATTGAAAGACTGGTCTGTGTTTAATTCTCATCAATATAATCTTTCACCTTTACATATGTCTTGAACATTCAATGAGCCTAAAACAAGAACCACCTGGTTTTGTCTCGGCTGTTTCGCGATTTAACTTTGAATTACGATGTGTATCTTGGATTCAGGTGGACAAAGAGCAAATACGCATACTTGAACCAGCCGGCTCTTGGATCTGCAGATTCACTGAAGAGAAAGAGGTTTTCGACATATACACCAAACTGTTTCTCGTTCAAGCCTTGCAATCCACTCTACGCAACTTCTCTCAATGTCTTTTGAACCATGAGCAGCAAACTCTGCAAGATCAATTGTCTTGCATATTTGTATATATACGTTCGTGTGTGTGTCTCTGTACATTCATGTGTTAATGCTTCTATGTTAATGGATCTGGACTTTGGTGTGGTTTTTGATTTGTAACTGTTGAATAAAATGTTTCTATGGAACATTAATTTCTTCTTGTTCCATATTGTGTACTTTGGTGTTTTTTCAATTCTACGCCATAAGAAAGATTTGATACATGCTCTATTTATCTCAATTTGGATAACTGACTTGTTGCTAAATTTAATCACAAACCTAAAACATTTTCCAATCTTTAGATTTGAGTGACTAACAACCAGCGTTTGGTATATACTATCCTTTAAACAAAAGTATAGTTAACATGAGTTTCTTTTTCCTTCATTTAAATGTTTGTCAAGTGGTGGATTTGCATTGAACTTCTTGCTTTAGGTCTGAAGTTTCCTACTGTTTTAATCTCCATAATTTGCTACATAGCTATTTCGAATTCAGCTTATGAAAATGTAAATAGAAGTCTTATAATTCAAGATTTTTTTCTACCATTGATTTTTCTGTTTCATGATAACATGAATATGACTTGTCATCACAATTTTTCTTAGTTTTCTTCATGGAAAAAACGTATTTTCCCCATTTTTACATCATATTTGTCAACTTTTCTTAAAACACCACATTATGGTAGCTTCACATATTGGAGATTTTGTTTTGTGCCACGGCAATGATTTTGTTGTGTCAGTTTAGATGATGCATGTCAATGGTTTCACCCCATATCAATGGTAGTTGTTCATTATGTCTTTTGATGTCGTTTTCAAGCTTTCATTGGCAGATCATTTGACATTGAAGATATTGGCAGTCTCCTGCAGAAAATGCTCAAAGTGCCCAAAATGAATTTGTGAATGAATGTGAGAATACATGACTTCATCATTGGATCATATACAAAGTTTATTGCATGATTTCACATATGCATGCAGCAATGGTAAGTGTAACCATGAGAAGAATCTACATCTTAGAGCAACCATGAGAATATAAGACTCAATGATGACATTAGATTTGTAAGGACTTATTTGTAAAAAGGTAATTTGTTTGAAGTTCTATTAATCTATCGAATATGTAACGCATATACGTTGTAACTATTAAGTTTCTCAAATATTGTAAAACTAAAATATAATAATGGTGTAGTATGTGGAATTTTTAATTCAAAAAATTGTATAGCTTGAGAAATTTATCGAATTTAAGACTGTGTTGTGCAGTATGTGCACAAAATTTGTTGATTTTGGTACATGTGACATTATAGATCCAACGATAAAATGATTTAAACTTTAGTGAATATATAGTTCATTTTTATCGAAATAATTGGTTAAATTATAAAAAAAAATTGTATAAAGCTAAAATGAAGTGATTGTAGCAGCCACAACCATCATATATATATATATATATTTGTTTGCTCCAAGATTGTTAAGTTGTTTTATACACAAATTGTAAGCATATGACTTAATATAAAAAAGATATATTAAGTTTAATTAGTTTTCCAATTTATTTGGTATCAATTGTAAAATAAGTAATGTTATATTCTTATTTATTATATAATTATTAACTGACCTTTTTTATTTAACAATAATCATTGGTTGACCATCTCAATTTGAATATAAACAAATAAACTTAAAGAAGTGATCAAATCATGTATTGGTTATGTCTAACATGTTCTTACCACATCTTAACTCATAGATATGCATATACGTATACATTGATTTTTTTAATAACAAATGGTTCAAGACTTCAAGGGAACAAAGGTGGGATAGATCCTTTCATATTTTCCATTCTTGACTTACCTTCATAGATATTTAGGTTATAAATTTAAATCTTCTTTATTTCATCATAGATTAAAAAAAAAAACAAAAACTAAAATTTGAAATTTACCACTTCAAATCTTTACAAAAAACTTTATTCATCAATTTACCAATCAAGTAACCATATAGAAGATAACAATTAACAAGTTCATGTTGTCATCCATATATCATTTTTACCTTTTTATTTGATTTTTGTTTTGTTAGTACACACTCAAAACAAAAACAGTGAAAATGGATAACGCGGAATAGATAAAACAGTTTGAACCAAAAACGAAAAAAAAACAAATACAAAATAAGTTAATATGGAACAAATGCATTAGATCAAAAACTTAAAAATTTAAGTCTCAAAGTTAACAAATATTTTTCTTTTACCAAATAGTATATCTTCTACATTTTGAATGACCAAGAATACCTTTTCACTTGATCAATAAAAATTACATCATACAGTACATCTTTTCTAAATTAAAACAAATCTAAAAAACATTGGTTAACCAATCTAATTACAATAATTAGGATAATATTATTAATCGACAAAACAAACGGGGTGAAATCAGAAATATCAAAAAGTATCGGGTACAAAAACAGAAAAAGAAGAAAATTAAAGACCGAGTCTAAATTTCCAAAAAGTCAAAGCCACCTTCCTAACTTGTCTGCATAGACGAAGAAGACAAAGAAGAAGAGATTCAATCACACAAGAAAAATTATAATCCTTCTTAATTCTTTTAATATATAAATAAACTTCAATCTAAGCTTCGTCGTAATTTCTCTTTCGTTCAATGTTGTTCTTTTAGATCTCGAACAAAACAAAATCTCCAGAAAAAAAAAATCATTTTCCATGGCGTCTAAATCGAAGCAACATCTTCGTTATCAGCCACGAAAATCTGTGTCACGATCAACACAAGCTTTCACAGTGCTTATTCTTCTTCTTGTAGTGATTCTGATTCTTCTGGGTCTCGGGATTTTGTCACTACCTAATGCTAATAGAAACTCTTCGAAGACGAATGATTTGACCAACATTGTACGAAAGAGGTTAGGGACAATTTTCGATCTGGGTTTTTGTTTTTGATTAGAAAGTTTTGATTTTTTTGATTTGGGTTTTTTGGAAAAAATTTTTGGTAGTGAGACGAGTTATGGAGATGAAGATGGGAATGGTGAACGTTGGGTTGAAGTGATTTCTTGGGAGCCTCGAGCTGTTGTTTATCACAATTTCTTGGTAAGTTTGTGTTTTTCTCTTTGATGATTTTGATTTGAATTAGGACTTAGATTAGTATTTCTTGTTAGACAAGATAAGAGATTTGAGCTTGTTTCTGAAATTGATCGATGGAGTTGACTTTGTTCTTGTGTAGAATTTAGATTTTTGATCTTGTTGAATCTTTCATTGGAGAATGTTTCAGTGAAAATGGTTTATGGATAGGAAACACAATGTTTCTCAGTGAGAAATTTGGATCGATATCGGTTTGACTTTGTTCTGCACTAGTGTTTAGAAATGTTGAATCTTCCCTTGAATGACATGTATCCCTCATTTGCCCATGAGAAGGGTTGGAAATGTGATTTTGGAGATTTTGTGTTTGAAATGAGTTTGGAATGTTTGAGATGTGATCTTGGGATTTCTTTTCATTTTTGTTTGTTTAGACCAATGAAGAATGTGAGCACCTGATCAATCTTGCTAAACCGAGCATGGTTAAGTCAACCGTGGTTGATGAGAAAACTGGTGGGAGCAAAGATAGCAGGTTTGTGGCCACTCTTTCCTCTTGTCCTTCTAGTTTAACTCAGGAAGTTTTCTAATCGATGCTTTATCAATCCTGTGTAGAGTAAGAACTAGCTCAGGAACTTTCCTTAGAAGAGGACATGATGAAGTTGTCGAGGTGATTGAGAAAAGGATTTCAGATTTCACCTTCATTCCTGTTGGTAAGTGCCCTTTGCTTTAGCTATCCCATACTTTGCTTTAGTTGCAGTTACTCTTGATATCTTGAGTTTTGTTCCTTTGGAAAACCTTTTGTGAGTTTGTGGATCGCACTTTTGTTTGTAGAAAATGGAGAAGGTCTTCAAGTTCTTCACTACCAAGTTGGGCAGAAGTATGAGCCTCACTATGACTATTTCTTAGATGAGTTCAACACTAAGAATGGAGGACAACGAATAGCTACTGTGCTTATGTACCTGTAAGTAACTCGCAAAACTCATTATCCCTTTTTTCTCAGAGAATTTCTGTGTTTAATCTTTTATTTTTTTCTCACAATTCTCTAGCTCTGATGTCGATGATGGTGGAGAGACTGTGTTCCCTGCAGCAAGAGGAAACATTAGTGCAGTCCCATGGTGGAACGAGCTCTCAAAATGTGGCAAAGAAGGACTATCTGTTCTACCAAAGAAGCGAGATGCTTTACTTTTCTGGAACATGAGGCCTGATGCCTCTCTGGACCCTTCAAGTTTGCACGGTAAAGACTAAAGAGATTCAACACCCAAAACTCTGTTTTTGCTTTATCTTGAAGCTAATAAAATTACCAGTCTCTAAACTTCAATATCCTATGCTTTGATTTTCAGGTGGATGCCCAGTGGTGAAAGGAAACAAATGGTCATCCACGAAATGGTTCCATGTCCACGAGTTCAAGGTTTAAGTGAAACAAAACAAAACAAAACAAAACACAAAAAGCTAAAATTTGAGGAGGTAATCTCTTTAATATCAAGCTATCTATCAATGACATCTTCAACATTGCCTCAACTCTTTACTCTTTATCTTCAACCTCAGATTTCCTCTTTATCAATCCCTAGGTTTTCATGGAAGCGTCAAATTTGTGTGGATACAGTTAAACAGGTGTAATGTGTATTTCCCTTTTGAAGTGAGAGATGCTTAGGAAATTGGAGGCTGTTCTTTCATGGGGGATATTTGAAATTTTTGTTTTAAACTATTTTGAATTATTTGTACTTTACGACATAATCTGAGTTTTGTAACTTTAACAACTCAATACAACAATGCATTTTCCGTTTACATGCTTTCTTGTGTTGATTAAGCAAAGTTATTTCTAGAAACTTTATTTAACAAACTTATTACTAAATCATTAAATTTTATAAGGTATGACGCAATACAAAATTAATTTTGAAATGCCAAATGTAATGTATTCTTGGTCACTATTCTAAAGTTGTTAGTAAAATCTAGTATCAATTAAAATTTCACTACTTTTCCATGTTTATTAATAGTGACTATTTTTGGTTAGTCAAATCTAGTACTAATAAGTAATAACACCTATACAAACAAATTTTCAAGATTTTTTTGGTCAACTCTCACCTAAATTGGACTATAAAAAACGATATAGAGTACCTTCAATTTCGCAATTGAAAGATTTACCAAAATAACAAAAAAAACTTCACCACCGAGAGCAAAAAAATAAAAAATAAATAGCAATACTTTGAAAATGAAGAGCATACTTTTTAAGCTTCTGTTATTGGTTTCTCTTCTAGTCGTTACCTTCCGTAAGTATACCTTACCAACAATATCGTTTCCAAACAAACCAACTAAAATTTACATATCTCTTTACTCTTTACCAATAGTTACGTTAAAACTAAACTTTGTTAATAAAAATATTTCACAAAATAACTGAGTTTGCAGAAATTAGAAAATAAAGCGCTTTTGTTGGAAATCAATTTAAAGCTCGTCATTTGAACTTTTTAAAAAATAAATTTATTTTTGTGGGTGATTTTATTTTCATTTTGTTGTGTTTAAAGGACAAAACTATGCAGTCGCGGATTATTGTGATAGAGACGCTGACTGCAAGCCGGTGTGCATGAGACCGTACGCTTGCAACTTGACCCGTCACGTTTGTATGTGTCGTCCAAATGATGTCAGTTCTTCTAAACATAGTTGTATTCCAGAACATAAAGGTTGTGGAAGAGGACTTCCACCGCAACGATTGAAATTATATTGATAAACATGCATATATGTTCTGATAAAAAGTTATTTGAATAAAATACAATGTATTTTAAAAAAAATTGATGATTTAATGTGTGGATAATCATAGCTTGTAGGTATATGAATCATGTTTTTTTTTGTTTTCACCGAGGCTTAAAAATCATGCATTAATTGTGCTCGCGCCACAAACAAACATATCCATGTAAAACAATAAACACAATTAATCATATAAGTTGATTATATTCATTATGCTAATTATATATTAAGGTTTAAGTTTGCATTTTCAGATTTTTTTCGTACTCAACACAACTTTGTTTAAGAAAATGCATAATATTGATGTCGATATATAGTTATATCGCGGATTGTTAATTAGATTGAGAGTTTTAAATACGATTGTCACATAGGGAGATTAATCTTCCAAGCAATGTGTTTTGTTTTGTTGGAAAAAAAATGGTTACGTCGAAAGTTTTTCTTTGTATGTTTCTTAATATAATAAGAGTGTAGGCTAATTTTATTCAGAGCTAAAAAGCGTACTAACACATGTATCTTCTTTCGTCTACACACGTACAACAACATGACGCCATAGACCGAAAAGAAAACCATTCTTATCACAATACGTATACTGAGTTTTTAATAAATTTCCTTCGTTATTAGCTATGCCTATTTATGAAACTCTGATGTGTGTATGGGACTGGCCTAGTGGCATGGACCCAAAATGTCTTTAGGATTAGATGAAAAGATCTTCGTGCCGATATTTGTTGAAATATCGTATACATTATGTATATACACCAGGATAAGAGTATTTATTATAAAGAAGCCACTATGATACATCTATTATTTATATAATACTTTAGATATTTATATTTTTTTGTTAAAAGAGAAATAAGTGTTTGAATACTTTAATTTACTTTGGAGATAGACACATCCTCCTTCTGACATCGAATTCATTAGTATTAGATATGTATTAAATGTCATGTGCATAGAAGATGTGTTAAAAAATAGAAGATCTCCTTGCAGATCAAATTTGTGAAGGAATTTACTATCTGCTTGCGGATCAACGAAACACAACACATATGTGGTGGTTCAAAGTGCGTTTCTGTTTTAACTCATTACTAGATACATGACCCGCGCCTTGCGCGGGAGAACGTTGCTGGTCACAATTTTTTGTATAAGTAAAGAAATAGTTAAATTTTTAAAAGAGTTGAATATTTTGTGTCTTTCAATAAATTTCTTTGTATACGTATAAATCAGTGTTTTCACGTCCGACCCGAACCGTTCGGTATAATCGGTTAACCTGTGATCTGTACACTTCTCCGGTTTAGGTTTAGTGCTAATATCCGGTAAATTTATTTTTTTTGCTCAGATGTCTAGTTTTTTCAAAACTGAAAATAAAACCCACAGAAAATCTGCCATTAACCCGTAACCTGATGAACCGGTTGAACTGACCGGGTATCAGATCAAAAGCACATCATTTGATTTTGAAATAAAATATAGGATTTTAGATTTTTTTTGTATTCACTATTCAATTATTTTTAAAACTTTTTCAGTTGTTCATATTCATTATCTTACTATCTTAGTATATTTTATGGTTTTAGTTGGACTAAAAAATTTTAATCCCTTATATATTATTTTAGTTCTAATTTTTATTTTGTAAAAAATGATATGATTATTTTAATTCTAATTTTTATATTTATAAAACATATATAAAGATTTTATTATTAATATAAATGCTAATTTATGAAAGATGTAGATATATCCTTTGTCACTTAAATATAAACATAAATGTTTGTTACATTTTAATGTTTTTGCTAATTCATATATATATCTAATGTTTATATGGAAAAAATGTAAGGCAGTTGTATATTTAGTTTGGAAGTATTAGTTATTTGATAAGATTTGCTTAAGGTTGGACGTAGTCTCTGTTACATTTTAATGATCTTACTAATATAGAGATAAAGATGGTCTCGTAGCCTCTTTTATTAATATTAGTTACATAATTATTTGCTTAAGTTTGTGGTATATTTATTTTGGAAAGATTTGTTGCATAATTATTCGTAATTTTAATTAAAAATTCATTTTGATTAGTGGGATATATATTTGTATAATATTAATGGCAAATTCTGTAAATAGTCTAATAAAATTTGGGAAATTATTTAAATAGGTGACAAATCATTATGAGAGCGACACGTCAGCATGACAATCTTGTTAATAACACGTCAAGATAAGGTTTGTTTTTTAAAATGTTTCTCTATTAATATATAAGGGATTTAATTCAAAAAATTGAAAATATATTATTCTAATGACTGAAATTTGTTGATCAATATAATTTTTTCAAAGAATATTATTTTCATCTATAACAAAGCATGATATAAACAATTAAAAAAGTTTGATGATTCATAAAATAATTACGTTTGATAATTACTAAAGTTTGCATTTATATAAAATGATAAACTATTCAATTATTTAAAATATATTTGGCTGTAGTTAATAACATTTTATGTATTTAAACACTAAATAGTGTTAATAGAAAAACATTATGTATAAATATTTGTACTCTTAATTGATAAATACATGTTCTTAAAAAAGTATATTAGTTGGCAAATTTAATATTAGATTAGAGTAATATGAATATTTTGGTAAAATATTTTATTTAAAACTCACATTTTAATTATTAAAATATTTGATACGCAATACTTTATCCGCATTCACCATTCAAACATATTTTGAACCGCTCGAACCGCTTGATACGCAGTTGTACCGCCAGATCCGCTTGATCCACTTTTGTTCTGCTTGAACCGCCTGATACGCTTGATCCGTTCCGCCCGATACGCTTTCTCCATTCGGAGCCTTTATATTTGATATTCGTAGTTCTTTTGAATACAATAGGAGCCATTATGATTTATCAACAATGAACTATTCCACGAGGAATGAATTGTAGAAAAGCCAACAATTATTAAGACAAAATAAAATTGCTTGGCAAAGTGTTCACGTTTTATTTTTTTAACTGAATCTGGACACAAAGCTCACAAGTCACAACACACAACTACTCATTATTATTTTTGTTTAAAGTAAACAAAGTTTGTAATTCCCGTTATGTGATGAGAAATCATAGCTACATTAAGTGTTAAAAAAATTGAACGAAATTTAGATCAATTTAAGGGTATGCTTGTTAAATCGATATACATATATAGTGGGTTTTTTTTTTTTTATGTTGTCAACTTATATTAAAGTATTTGTGGTGGTTAAATAGGTATATCTAATAACCATTCTTGAACAAGTGGAATGAGACAAGTGAACTCAACCAAATTTTTACTATTTTTTTAATTGATGTGTGCCATCCTTATCATACAATTATCTAAAATTCTAAAAATTTTAGGTGGATTATTTCACATCATATTTATTCACACGCGTTTATGAGAAAATGGTTTAAAACATACTGAATTAAAGGGATTTTTTTTTTTAATATGGCAGACTTTTACTTTGACGTAAAGTACACTAAATTGATTTAAAAAACCACAAACTTTATAGAAAAAATCTCTTTAATTAATTGAGCTCTATTAGATTAAATATTTAAATTATATATACCTAAGTTGCATGGAAACTCTACATGAAATCTACTATTTTCTGTTTCGAAATCAAAATCTCTTGGAAATACTAGAAACCTCGATAGAAAACTGTGAAAATATTGCTTTCGCATTTCGACACATTTGGTTTTCTATATCCGCCTTTGTTTATGTGCAACATAGGTCCAAACGATTTCATTTGTGACCATTTTATTGTTCAAATAAACTCATTGTAGACATCCACAAAATTGGTGTATGTAAACCAATTTTTTCCTTTGTCAACTCAGCAAAAGTTAAATGCGACGGCACCGTCTTGTGAAATATGATGAAGTTAGAATATTCCAAATCAAAGTTCGTAAATGATGTTAAACAGTAAAACAAATGTACACGAATTAGCTCAATACAAAATCAGGATCTTATTCTTAACCCTTTTTACTTTTCAAAGCAAAGTATAATGCAAATTGGAAATTGATTTACCTAAGAAATAACGTCCTCTAATTGGCTTACCTAAAGAAAAAAAAGTTTACTAATTAATTTTCGAAAAAGCTTTTACCAAATGAAAATAAGAAAGTTCTTTGCTTTGTCCCATGAGCTCATCTCTCTTCTATCTCTGACTCGTGCTTTTCTGAAAACGAAAAGTTTGAAACTTTGGTCACTGATTGAGACACATAAAAACCCTAAAAGATTATCCTTCTTCACCTACAACAAATTCTGGCCATGAAAGCAAACTCACCCAAAGCTTTAAATGCAAAGTAGCGAAACATCCCATCTCCCTCTCCCCCTCTCTTAAGCACTAAGCAAAATCTCATCTTTCTCTCCTTCTATATAAGCCTCTCTTCGCACTCTGCTGCTTCTCACCGTAAATCGTTTCTGGGTTCTTAAGAAAAAACATGGCTTCATCAACATCTTATAGATTCCAATCTGGGTTTTATCCTCTTTCGTCAAGTCCTTCTCTTGGGAATTTCGTCGAACGGATTAAAGACGCTTGTCATTTCCTCGTCTCTGCTGTTCTTGGCACCATTATCTCGGCGATCTTGACCTTCTTCTTCGCACTAGGTTCGTTTATTGTAACTGTTCTTGAGATTGTATGGAGTTTGAAACTCTATTTTGGATCTGATCTTGTCTCTGCTGCAAATTCTGAGATTGTTATTTTTGATTAGATTGAATTGAATCATTGAATTGATATGGTTATTAGAAAATTTGTAGCTTGGAGCTAAGAAAGTTGTTTCCTTTATTCTTTGTTCAGTGGGCACATTGCTAGGGGCACTTACAGGAGCTTTGATAGGTCAAGAAACTGAGAGTGGTTTCATTAGAGGAGCAGCAATTGGAGCCATTTCAGGAGCTGTTTTCTCTATTGAGGTCTTTGAATCATCGCTTGATCTCTGGAAATCCGATGAGTCGGGTTTCGGTTGTTTTCTCTACTTGGTGAGCAGCATTACTTGCTCTGTTTTTAAGTAGCTATGAAGTTTGGAATGAAAATTTTGGGATTTGATTGGATTGAACTTCAAAGTGATCTTGCTTGTAACTTTTTTTTGTGTAGATTGATGTCATTGTTAGTCTTCTAAGCGGGAGACTTGTACGAGAGCGCATTGGTCCTGCAATGCTAAGTGCGGTGCAAAGTCAAGTATGTTTGCTTTCAGAGTTTTTCACCATTTCCTTATTTTTTTAGGATCTCCATAGTTATTAATCCCTTCTTCTTGTCTTGTTTCTCCTGATCAGATGGGAGCTGTAGATGAAGCCTTTGATGATCACACTAGCCTCTTTGATACAGGAGGCTCAAAAGGATTAACAGGAGAACTTGTTGAGAAAATCCCAAAGATGACAATCACTGGCAACAATAACACCGATGCTTCTGAAAACAGAGACCCCTGTTCTGTTTGTCTTCAGGTTGGTTCTAACATCATTTTACTTCGTTTTAGCTCATTATGTCGAATCGCATATCTAATTAGCTCATTACTTCTTGATGTGTGATTTCGCAGGATTTCCAACTCGGTGAAACAGTTAGAAGCTTGCCTCATTGTCATCACATGTTTCACTTACCTTGCATAGACAATTGGCTCCTTAGACACGGTTCTTGCCCGATGTGTAGACGTGACCTTTAATCTCTCTCTCCATCGTCCATCTCTCATAATGCAGTTTAACCTCGCAGTTAAGATATTTCTACAACTCGTACATCAAGAGTCGGCTCTGCTCTTCTTCCTCCTCGACTTTCAAGTAAATTACAGTTCTTTTGGCAGTTTCAATTACTATACCTCTCTTTCTCTTTCAAAGTCTTTGTATGACTCCTCTAATGTTATGTTTTAGTCAGCATATGTACAAAGAAACACAGAAAAAATAGAGTTTTTGTTTATTGAATTCTTTATTGTGGCTAATGTTGTGTGACTTGTGTTCCATTGAGCCAGAAACTAGTTGGTCGGCTTTTTCTTAAGCACTTGAAACAAATGACACTACTCACGGGACCAAATCCATTGAACGATATTACTAGATTCTTGTCTGGTGTAACCAAACTAAGTACTTGCGTATTTAAAACACTCTTTGATGTAATTTGCTCTACCTAACAATACCTAACATCACTTGTTTTTTTTTTTGTGTGTGTGAAGTCTTTTTCTAGCACCAAATTGCAATATTCAATCGTAATTAATAATTTCTACTTTAAATTTCTGACCTTTTTTTTTCTGGTAGTTCTAGTACCATAAACCTTCTCCCTGATTCAGAGCCTTTTAAAACTCCTAGTACTCTTTAAGTTTTATCACATGGTATTGTTTTTTTGTCGCTGTTTACTTCCAGTTGTATTGCTATGAAAACTAATACAAAAGTTGGAAAAGTCAGCTCAAAGAAGTTCCAAGAAAATAAATTTAGCTTGGCTGCTTTGCTAAGGCATAAGCTTAAATGTTTTGCTCTCTGTTTACATGTTGTGAGTTATGAAATTGAACCACCTTGCAACATGGTTGTTGCCCGATGTGTAGACGTGAACTTTAATATCTCTCGCCATCGTCCCGTCTCTCATAATGCAGTCAAACCGCGCATTTCAGATATATCTCAAGAGTCGGGTCTGCTCTTCTTCATCTTCTTCAAGTCTCATGTAAATTACAGTTCTTTTTAGGACTCCTAGTAATGTTATATTTTTCAGCATATGTACAAAGAAACACATACAAAAATACTAGAGTTTTTGTTTATTTAAATTATTTTTTTCTGGCTAATGTTGCGTGACTTGTGTTCCATTACGCCAGAAAAAACTCTAGTCTTAATCTATGTACTCATAGTACTCTTAATTTCTATGGCATGCTTTATTTTGTTCCTTGGCTGACAACTTGCCTTAAAATTGGTCTGAAACCAAGTACAAAGATGGGAAATTTAGCTCAAAAGTGTTCCAAGAGTGAGTACTGAGTAGTGAACGACCAATAAAGTTGCTTTGCTAAGGATCAACTTGAGTATTTTGTGCTCTGTTTAAAAAGTTGTATCTTCTTTTTTAGCAAGCTATCTTGATCACATATTCACATATATGTGTATTGTTAAAGCATGGGGTAGATTAAACCGAGTATGACGAAAATAATAAGAACATTTATCGATAGATTTTAAAAGTTTAAAACTCAATTGATTTGGTGAATAAAATTAATGGATGTTGTAATCTACTTGTACCACGAAAATTACTTGAATACATATGTCTAAGGATTACACAAACAGAAAGTGCATATACCAAAAAAGCATTAAAATATATATGTTTCATAACATATCTTTAGTAAAGACAGATTCATACCAAAAGATTATTAATACATAAAAGCTTGCAACAATTCAACGAAAATAAGACAAAAGAAAAGCAATAATAAAACGAAAAGACAATAAATAAAAACAAGCAAAAAGTGAAAGAGTTTTAGAGTTTCAAGATTCCGAGAGCAATAGATGAGTTCATCATATCTTAGATCATTTTGAGTATATGCTTTCTTGACTTCTTATCAATCTTAGCTCTTTGCATCTCCAAGTGAAGAGCAATTTGCATCTGCTCCATCTCTCTTTGAGCCTTCAACATCGCAGCGAGCTCTGAATTCGCCGAGCTCCTTCCTCCTTTCGCTCCATTTCCACCACTTCCTCCTTCTCCTCCTCTTCCTCCTTTCTTTGGCTTTTCCTCTTCTTCAGCAACGCATGAATGTAAATGAGCACCGTAGTCACATTTCTGGCAGTAGTACAACCATAGATTATGCGGCATAGTTTCATCGCAAACATCGCAGGTAAATATATGATCCTTTGGGCAAGGAGCACTGTAGATCAAAGCAAGCGGGTGCGAGTGCTCGTCATGCTTCATGGTCTCAGGCATAGACACACATCCAACATGAATATCGTACTGGCAGATAGAACAATTGTAAGTGAACCCCGATCCATACTCACCGCATGCATCACACGTGTACGTGGAATGATTATTCTGAGGGGAATAGAGGAGGATCAAAGGGTGGTCAGGGTGAGACTTGTGACGGATCTCACGTGGGAGATCGAAACATGACTTGTGCAAGAAGTAACCACACTCTGACTTTGTGCACTTGAAAGCTGCACCGATCAGGTCTAGGTCGCAACCAGAACAGATTATCTCGTCTTCAACTTGGGCTTTGTAACCGCGCAATGGATGGTTGTGGCTCGGATGTCTCACTGAAGGGCGGGTAGCTGATTTTCCTGAAGCCATTTGAGAGGTAATCTATTTCTTGATTTGGGTATGAAGTCTAATTCTAAGTAAAAGGGTTTCAAACTATTTATTATTTATAGTGAAAATAAAAGAAGACTTCTGATTATATCATTCACAGAAGAAAAAAATGAGCAATAGAAGAGAGTTTACTTTTAGGGTAGAATAGTTTTGTGTTTTGGTTTGACTAACCGAGTTTTTTTTTGGTTTTTATGTTAAGATTTGACTAACCAAGACGTAGCTTGTCTTTAACTATAATATATATTGGAACAAAAATGTCACGCTCTATATGAATATATGGACATGGTTCAGATTGGGATTCAAACTAAAGAGGTGGATAGTTGCAAAATAACGATTCAAAGTCTCAAATTATCCTCTGACAAAAAAAAAAAAGTCTCAAATTATCATTATCGAGTTGGCTAAAGATTCAATAACGTTGACATAGTGAATGATGTGAAGGTCAAATAATCACGCTGAGTCTCTAATACATATCGTCGAGAGAAATAATTGACAGAAATTCTACGACCAAATTTTGTTTTTAAAGAGAAGCTATAGTGCGTGTAATTTCGCGGGAACTTTTAGTGACTATTTTTATCAGTTCATTGATTATCTTTTTTTGATAAAGAGTTCATTGATTATCTAATCTTACTAATTTTTTACGTATATACTGTATATATATAGGAGATTACAAGTCATCTCTTCTTTTTCGGAGAATGTCAACTTTGTTCTTCCGACTCCATCTCGCGATGGACTTTGTTAATCTTGGTCGGGCTTATGTTTAACCGCCTTAATAATGGGGACAATATCATAGAGATTAGCGATATAATTAACCTAGGAACTTTAAATTTGTCCAGCGATTATTTTTAATAGTATATTTTTTTGAGAAAAGATTGATTTATTTTTCAAACCCTTCCTTTCGAGTAGAAGGTTTAGTAATTTTTGTATTTAACCATATTCAATTAAATTTGAGTTTAATTGTCTAGGTTACGTATTTGGTTTGATAATTTTATTTTAAATAGCGTTTTTGTTTTAATGTAACGGAAACTATCAAAATTGAAACACCAAACTTGATGTGGTTCTCGATGAAAAAATTTGGTGTGAGACTTAAGATTGATTTTATAGTTATATTTTTTTATGTCAACCTGAATTTCATTAAATGCGTAAAACAGATACTTGAAAACAGATTTTGTGAACATAGTTCATTTGTTTAAATTTTTGCGATAGATTATACTATTACATTTTCTTGGAATAAGAAAAAAAATGTATAACACAGATAGAACTTAGTTAGGCTTGATGGCTTTTCCATGGTTGTGCTTGGTGTAGATCTGGTAGTTGGTGTTTAAAGTTTAGTTGGTGCTTTTGGCTTGCACAGAGGTTTAGTTAGGCTTGATCTTGGTCTAATTATATGGCTTACATTGTATGGCTTTGCTGTGCTTTCCGGTTTTAGTGTCATGCTCGCTCTAACGCTCTGTTTTGGGTTCCTAGTTCTTCTGCTCCGTGTGCTTCCTCTAGTTTGTGTGTGGTTTTGGTGGGCTAGGTTCGTGATTGAGGTTTGTTACTCGGATGGTTCATCGTTGCAGGTACATCTACTACCTCTTCTCTGAAGCCATCTTTAGGTTTTATGGTCGGGTTTAAGGCGCAACAGTGGTTTTGTTCACTAGTTCTTCTCATGCAAGGTCGTGACCGGTTCATGTTTGTAGGTGGCATTGATTGGTTTGCTTTGTCCGCGTGTAAGTGTTGGTGCTCCTCTTTGGCTTATCCTCAGCCGTTTTCAAAGGTTCCTGTCTGTGCCTAGTTTCGCTTGAACTCTTTCTGCTTATCTAGTTGGTGTGGTGGTGTTTGTTGATGTGCTCGTTTCTCGGATTATTCCTTCTCTCGGTTCTATTGGGTGGGGCTAGTTGAGCTCTCGGAGTTCATTGGATTCTTTGGTCTAATGGAGATTGTCAGTTTATTTTGTTTATTTTCGAGGCTCATGTTTCTTAATTCAGCTTCGACCCCAACTGTTTCTCTAGGATTTTTTGCGGGTTTTAATGGTTTGGAGTTTCAAATTTAGTTCTTAGGTTCCTTTGCCGTTTAGTGTATTTTGCTTCCCTTTTTTGAGTTTAGTTTTTCGGGGATATTTATGTCTTTCGCCGGCTTAGTTTCCGAAAGAGTTTCGACTCTTGTCGACTTTGTGTACCAAATCGTATTCTACATTGTATTAATACTCTCTCTGTTCCTAAAAGGTTTATGTTTTGGAGTTTTTCTTGTTCCACAAAATTTGATGATTTGTAATAACATCATTATTACTTTTACTTGTAACCAATAGGGAGAGGAGAGAAGTGAAACTAAAATTATTAAACTAACAAATAAATAATTAAATAATATAAAAGTTACTTTTTCTTAATTTACGTATAAAACCTAAAACATCAAATTTAAGGGAACAAAGTGAGTATAATGGATATCATTCATACGAAAAAAAATAGAATTTAGAACCGGGAAGCTTTACAATGCATGAGATGTGTTGAAATAGTTGAGAGACATTCTCGTTGGAGGCCGTATGTTATATATTCATAATGTGAGTGGAGATGGTATGTTACCTATTCAGACTATGAGCTGCCTGTAGTTGTCAAATAATGGTCATGCTGCTCTAAAATTCAAGCTCAAGAAGCATCACCAAATCAAAATTCATCTTCATCCAATTTGTTCCTCTTGCATTTACCAATTGGACCACTCCATATTGTCTAAAGACTTAAATTAATTAGCTGAAAATTTATTTCCCATATCACATATATTTTTATTTTATAGTTTGCTTAGATTCACAATATGTATAGATTATTTACAATTCTGATTTCGACCTGGGCCACCATAATAAAAATAAACTCCCCATATTTTAGCATAACCAGACCTGATGTTATAACAACTCTCTTGCGTCATATAAGAATAACCTTCTTTAGGTTTATTATGAATATCATGTTCATCAATTATCTCAAGATTCTTGAAATAACTAGCTTTTTGATATCCTTCCTCTGCAAAATGTCCACTCCCCATTCGCGTCGTCGTGTGAAGTGAACCATCTTTAAAGTTTATTATTTCACCTCCCCACTGAATTTCGGTCGCACCATCTTTTAGATGGTTGAACAATATGGATGGCCAATATCCGACAAATTCATTGTCATTAAATTTTAACCACCAATTCCCTGTATGTGGATCCTATAATAATACAACACGTTTTATTATTTTAAAATATCATAAGAGAACACTTATCTAAATTATATGGTTAAAAACAATCTAGAATTATACTAACCTTCCATATAGTTGTGGGAATATGGTATTGTTGACCATTCAAGGTGGAAACATTACTAACGGCTGCACCTAGGGCAAAGTTTTGGCTGACAGGAACAAATCCTGGGCAATCAAGATTGTAACAGCCTGAGTGGTAACCATCCGCCTATTTCCATATTGTTACCCGACAACACACAAAACAAATATTTTATAAATACATATTTGGTCAAAAAAAATAAAAAAAAATCAAAATAATACTATGAACATTAACTTACAGTCCAAAAAATGAAGTATCTTGGGTTGTCATCGCCGTAACGATCTTGATACACCTAAAAGAATAGGAGATTGGAGATAATGAAAGATAATTATATAAATATGTATTAAAATGTAGCTGTAAGAAGAAGAAGAAGAAGAAAACCTGCCAACCAGCTTCAACGCTATTAACTTCAGAAAACGGACCAGCCATAACCCACATTTGTGCTAGGCTAAACTCTTTTGGTGTTTGTACATAAGGTTTCCAAACATTTATATCTGCATGGGCTCCATGAAACTTTCCTTTCGCTTGGATTTGGGCGTACTGTATATATACACACACAAACACATATCAAACATATATATATACACTTACATCAACAAGTAAAACAATCATGACTTTTCAAATTCTTATTGAATTATATTATATATATGTATGCACCTCATGTATGGAGTTACTAGATGATGCTTTAGGATGATTTATTATGTTTGGATTCTTTTTGTCGTATCTTTGCATATATTTGGTTCGTAAAATTTCTTTTCTTCTCGTTCTTCTGATCGGAATACTGTTTTTCGGACATTTCCCGTTAAGTGTCCATAGTTGAGTCACAACACTTTGTTTCTCTATGTCTGAAGATTCATTATTCTTACCTTTAGGATAAGAACTTGGTTTCATCTACGACACACCAATGTTAGAAAAAAATATCAAATTAAACATAAGAAAGGCTAGCCCAAGAGCAGTTAATCCAACCAATTGAACAATGTTTTAAAGTATTATTGACCTGATTTTGAATATGGTGTTAAGATTATCAACGATTTGTATAATTATTTCTGGTATAATCTAATGAGAGTTTTGGATCTAATAAGATTATAAAGCAAAAGTATAGAACTTTATGTTAAAAATTATAATTATATATAAGAGAACTAATTAAGAACCTGAATTGTGTAGTTTTTGAATAAAGGATGATCATAAATTGGATGATTATTCATATGAATGCAGTCTATTATATCTCCATCTGGACTCTGTATAAAGATTATCAAATATACACGAATAAATATTTAATGAAAAAAATTGTTAGGTGTAACTATTTTTGTATGAACCCACAATTTCATTAACCTTGATAGATTTAAGAGCAGGTTTGTTGAGTTTCTTTAAGATTTTTTCTACTTTTGCATCACGGGTATCAGAAAACTCACTACCAGAAACTATCGCCGCTACGATTAGAATGCTGAGCACAAAATGAGCAACCATCATTCGATTGATTATTTATGACTAAGAGTATCCAATTTTTTTTTCTTTTTAAGTTCTTTTTTTTTCTTTGGCTAAGCAGATGATTAAGGTGAGTGCCTTATATATATCCACAATGAAGAAATATTATGCAAAACAAAAGTTAAAAAATAGTAAGAAAATTATACTTCAAAACTTTTTATTCATTAGAGAAAGACTCTTAATTTAAAGCAAATTAAAGTGTATTTAATTTGTTCCTTGAAATAGCTTAATTCATTTTTGACTAAATAAATTGTATATGGACATGTCAAAAATCAATTAAGCTATTTCAAGGAACAAATTAAATTTTGATTTGAGCTTTATTATTTTCATTAAAAAAGACAGTTTTTTATAAAAATGAAAAAAAATTATTTATAGAAAAATGCAGTTTTAAATGATTTTTTAGAGAAAGGTTGGGTTTTATTTTTGAAACCTTCCATTCAAATAGAAGGTTTAATTATTTTCCTGGTTTTGAATTTGATTTGTTAATTATTTGTGTTTTTGTTTTAATGAAACGAAAACTGTCAAAATTTAATCCAAACCGGTTTCATTTTAGTTTTTAATCTTGTTGTGGTTTAGGATTGAAAAGATTCATTTCATGTGGTTCTTTAAAATTGTCAAATCTCTCGACGTTTGGAGTTTTGATAGTAATTTCATAGTTTTAGTTTTGATGACAACTTGATTTTCATTTTACCATTATACATAGATGAAATCAGATTTTGTGAACATAGTTCTTTTTTTTTGCCAAAGATTAGACAATTATATCTTCTTGAATTATGACAAAATAATGTATAACACAATTAAATTTAGAGAGCAGTATGCTAACTATGTAAACACATTGAAAGTGTCTGCTATCTATTGATACTATGAACTGAGGCGGTATTATGCTATCTATTCAAACTATGAGATGCATGTATTTAGCTAACAATGTCCATGCTACTCTAAACTTCAAGTCCAAGAAAGCATCACCAAAACTTCATTCAACTTGTTCACTCATAGCTCATGCCAAACAAAATCGCTACAACCATATTTCCATAAGTTATCAGTCTCTACCAGATTAACTTTATTGAGTTATTAGAATATTTTGAAGTATTGTGAATCTTCATACTCACGTGCATGCTCTCGAAACAAAATAGCTAACCATACGAAGAAGATAAATTAAGCCACAAGCATAACTTGGTCATTTTTTTTTGTTGCCAAAATAACTTAAACCGTCGCACAATCGTAATTATTGGAGTACTTTATTTGTAACCCTCTATTTTTTGAAGACCAATAAGATTTATTATAAAAAAAAAGATTTATTATAAAAAATTGATTTGAGTTTTGTTATTTTCACTATTATTTAAAAAAAATTCGGTAACGCGTTTTAATTTTCCCTCCAATTCAATTATAGGCAAACCATTAAACTAACTAAACTAGTTGCCACTTTTACTTGATCTAAGTATCTAACAATAGCTATTAGAAAGCTAATAATCATCAAAACTGTTTAAAAACTTACCAGTGATGGGTCATACACATTTGTTAATAAAAAAAAGTCTTTAATAGTTGATCGATATGCTTTAGACCAGATTAAAATCGAATCAGTCCACTTTTTTGCCATTAACATAATTATCTGATATATTTCGAATTAATTTTGAACTAACACCGAACCAACAAAATACATGTTAAGACGTAGTAAACAGTAATTATATACTAAAATATTATATATTTTCTTTCTTTTGCTCTGCAATAAAAATGAAAAGTATTCTAATATAAAGTTTAACAATACTAAAATGTATAATATGGAGCATACTGATCAACCTACAAAACCTTAATTACTGTACGTTTTAAAAACGAGAATGACGAAAAGTTGGTCCAACAATCCAACTACATATAACTAATATCAAGCTTTAAATAATGGAATGACGTGTTGACAAACAAATATTTATCAATTCAATTGCGTAACCATAATAATAATTCAATAGGACTTTCAATTGTAAGATTACAGATTTTACACAAATGTTGAATATTCTACAAAGATGACTTCGTGTGGTCCTACTTCGATGACTTCTACGTTGACTTTTGCTGTTTTGAGGTAGAGAAGGAAAATTACCTGCCACCTTTTTTTACTATAATTAAATAAAATAAATAATAATAATCTTTTACAAAAACTTTATTTTATTATTTTATCAGGAAAATAAATTGACTTCAAAGTTCATCATCATACAAAGGAGAAAACTTTGGAGCTTTCTCACTTTCTTTACTTCACGATCCTTCTTTTGCCTAATTTCTCGGTTTCTTTTACAAAATTCTCATTTTGATTCTTTCTTCCTCTTTAGCTAGAGAAGATTTATACTGGGTTTTTGAGTATTTCTCGGAAAGTTTCGTTTTTTTTTTTCTGGGGAAGTTTCCGAGATCTCGGCGGAGTACTTTTTTTGACGACGAACCAGTATGGTTTGGTACTCAAGCTGTAGAATTTTGTTTCTGGGTCTGATTATTTTGTTAGCTTCGAGCTGGGTTTTGGAAATATGCGAAGGATTTGGTGAATTTGGGTTTGAATTTCATCATCGTTTCTCCGATCAGGTTGTTGGGGTTTTACCTGGAAATGGTTTACCTAATCGAGATTCTTCTAAGTATTATAGAGTGATGGCTCATCGTGATCGGTTAATCAGAGGTCGTCGACTTGCAAACGAAGATCAATCACTTGTTACTTTCTCTGACGGCAACGATACTGTTCGTGTTGATGCCCTAGGATTGTAAGGTTTTCTAAATTCGTTGTCAATTACTTTTTTTGAGCTTGAAGTTAGTTTCAAGGTTGATGTTTTATGGAGAGACTTGTGAATTGTTTTTTGAGAGTTAAGGTTTGGAGATGTTTGTGTTGAATTGTTTGGTTGATGTTTTGTAACAGTTTGCATTACGCTAATGTGACGGTTGGGACGCCGTCTGATTGGTTTCTGGTTGCTTTAGACACTGGAAGTGACTTGTTTTGGTTGCCCTGTGACTGCACCAATTGTGTTCGTGAATTGAAAGCGCCTGGTGGCTTGGTAATGTTTCTTCTTGCTTATATATTGCATTTGAGTATGATGCTTGCTGATGTATCTTTTGTTCTCTTGAGGTTTTGGTCTAGATTGTGAAGAACTTTATGGGTTTGTTTTAAGTCAGGGTTTAGCTGTGGTATAAAGATCAATTATTGCATAGAATCTGACTTTGGGCAACTCTTAAATACAGTGAGATTGACACTAGACTTATCGAGGATGCTTCTATGTTTTCAAAGCTAATAATTTTGTGGAAGAAAAATTTCGTGAACAAGATATTCTTGTGCTTAGATTTTACGTTATTGACATATTTTTGTGTTATCTCTTTAGACATTTTTAATATCTGCGAGTTGTTGGGTTCCTTATATAGGTTTTTCTTTTTTTTTGTTGACCAGAGTTTGGACCTCAATATTTATAGCCCTAATGCATCATCGACAAGTACTAAAGTTCCTTGTAATAGCACATTATGTACAAGAGGTGATCGATGCGCTTCCCCTGAAAGTAATTGCCCATACCAGATCCGGTATCTTTCTAATGGTACCTCGTCTACCGGAGTCTTGGTGGAGGATGTACTTCACTTAGTTTCAAATGACAAAAGTTCCAAAGCTATTCCAGCTCGAGTTACTTTGGGGTAAGTAATTTCTTCCTGACAGACTTCCGAGTATATGATATAATAGAACTGTTTTATGTTTCTCGAACCATCTATTATGTTGTCAAGCCTAAACCTTTGTGTTTTCATCTTAACAATCTTTCTGTGCTGGAGCAGATGTGGTCAAGTTCAGACTGGTGTATTCCATGATGGTGCAGCTCCAAATGGTCTTTTCGGGCTTGGCTTAGAAGACATATCGGTTCCTAGCGTACTAGCAAAAGAAGGAATTGCAGCAAACTCATTCTCAATGTGTTTTGGGAACGATGGAGCTGGTAGGATCAGTTTTGGGGATAAAGGTAGCGTAGACCAGCGGGAAACACCATTGAACATAAGACAACCACAGTAAGCAAACCGTTGAATCATATCTTCTTTATGTTTTACCGAACTTGTCTGTCTCGTTGAATATACTTCCAGTTTTTTCTTCTAACTACTATATATTGTTTTCCCGTTAACCAGTCCTACTTACAATATCACCGTCACTAAAATAAGCGTTGGAGGAAATACCGGCGATCTTGAATTTGATGCTGTTTTCGACTCTGGAACCTCGTTCACTTATCTGACTGATGCAGCTTACACCCTTATTTCAGAAAGCGTAAGTCTTCATCTGTATTGTAATATGATCTTGGTTTGATATTAGATGGCTTAATAACCAATATGATTTTGCAGTTTAATTCTCTAGCTCTGGACAAACGTTATCAAACAACTGATTCCGAGTTACCTTTTGAGTACTGTTATGCACTAAGGTTGCCTCTTTACTCTGGTTACCATCACTCTGATTCTCTCTAAAACCTTACTAACTTTTTTTTGGAAAAATCTATGTGCAGCCCAAACAAAGACAGCTTTCAGTATCCAGCTGTGAATCTGACAATGAAAGGCGGGAGCTCATATCCCGTTTATCACCCGTTAGTAGTAATCCCCATGAAGGTTAGTTAGGCCTCTGTTATATTACAGCTCATCTCTGTTCTGTCTCTGCTATTACTTAAGCTCTCTCCTATTGATGATTTCAGGACACAGATGTCTACTGTTTAGCCATCTTGAAGATAGAAGACATTAGCATCATTGGACGTAAGTATCAATTTTGGAAAACTCAACCAAAAAATGTTGTCTCACTGAACTTAAAATGCAAGATTTTTATCGGATTTCTTCGTTATTACAATTTGCAGAGAACTTCATGACTGGCTATCGCGTTGTCTTTGATCGTGAGAAACTGATTCTGGGGTGGAAAGAATCTGATTGTGAGTTCCTTATCAACTGTCCTTCTTTGTAGAGCATAGTTTGATCAAGAACACTAAGATCTTATTCTTCTTTCTAATCTAACTTTATATTCATGGCTAAAGGTTACACCGGTGAGACCTCAGCTCGGACGCTTCCATCGAACCGTTCCTCCTCCTCGGCTAGACAGCCAGCTTCTTCGTTTGATCCAGAGGCGACGAACATACCATCTCAAAGACCAAACACGTCGACTTCTTCTGCTGCTTATTCTCTCTCTATCTCACTTTCATTGTTCTTCTTCTCAATTTTGGCCATCCTTTAATTATTTACACGTATATATTTAGCCATCTGCTATACACGAATTTGTATTCTTTAGAAGATAATTGGGTTCAATCACCAAAAAATATTGCACACTACAGTTGTATTTTTTTTTTCTATGTTGTATATGATATTTAATTTTTAACTATTATATATTAGTTATTTGGTGAAGTTTTGTTGTAGCTTTTGTATGGGGTTATGATGTAAATATACAGTACAATGAAGAAAATAATAAATTATCGTGTTTTAAAGTCTTATTTACTATCTGGAAAATTGAAAATATAAATTTTTAAGTTTTTTTTTTATTATTTTGATCAAAAAAATCTGTTGAATGTTTTGTATTTACATTTTGAAGAAATATAACATTTATATACTTTATATTTATTTATATTTCATATGTATCTATACTAGTATTTTTGCAGTCATTTTGGTGACGGATGGGTAAAAATATTCCCGGCTTATTTGGATACCCGACCCATTTACAAATTTTGGTCATAAAAAGTTTATTGGGTCGGGTTATATTTAACCCAACTCATACACCAGATATTCCATATTTAATAATTTAGATATTTAGAAGATTTGATTAAGATTTATAATTATGATTCTCCTATAATCTTTGTTTGATTTGTTTTTAACTGTTTTGAATCATTATATAATACATAAAGTAAAAAAAAAATCAAATTTTTTTCTGCATATACTGTGATTCGAAAATTTTTAAAACGGACATATATTATCCAATTGACGAAAATGTGTGTTCAACGTTCTACATCGATTAAAATATTTAGACAATGATTGATAATCATATCATAAATAAGATCAACATTAATAAAATAAATAAGCTTTTTGGCCGGACGGGTTTGGCGGGACGGGTTTTTGAATCAACAATAATAAAAAGATTAAAATATCATTAATCCGACGCTTCAATACGGTTTAAATCCTTAATTTTTTTTAATACCACCAATATTAGACATACTAGATCGAAACCCGCGCTACGCTGCGGGGCAAATTTTAAAAATTTATTTTTTGAAGAAGTTATTTGACATCAAGTAATTTTTAGAGAACAACATGCATGAGGTAAATTTAACAAGTGGTGTAAGTTGCGGGTAGTTTTTGTAAATTAATTTGTTTTAATATAAGTATTTATGATAGACATTTAAAAGATTTCTTGGATTTTGTATTTACCTTTGCTCGTATTTTAGTTGTCTATATTTTATATTTTATATATGCATAAAATATATAAATAACTTTATATTTGTATTTGTTTGTTTTATTTAATGTTTTTAGTATATGTTTAATTTCTTACAAATGTTAAATTTTTATATTGTGATATGTAAATATTTTTTCAGCGACTACTATACTTTAAAAACCTTAGATTCTTTCTGTTACATTTATTTATGGTACTCAAGCATAATTTGAATCATACTAAAAATTAATTAACATATCTTTTGTTTCCTTAAATAATTATTTTACCATTAGATCACAATAATTAACTATGCGAAGTTTATTTTGTGTGTATTTTGTTCTTTAAAATTTGAACACTATAAACATTTTTTAACTTTAAAATAATTTGATTTTTGAATAGATCGGGATAATATTATTAGGGTGGACATTTTAACCGAATTGTACTAAACCAAACCAAACCTAACAAAACAATATCAAACCGATTCAAACCAAACCATAACTTACATTCAAACCATTAGATTATGTTTCTTCTCAATCCGAACCGATAACCCAATGTATTTATTTATTTAATTAATTAATAATATTATAAATACTAATATGTAATCATTTACCAATGTTACACTTGATTTGGAGCTTTAGATTTTTTTCGTTTTCTAATTAATTAAATAAAATTAATTTGATTTAGTTTAATTATCTCTAAAAAAGGAAAAAAAAATCTCTATGAGACTATGCAATTTTGATAACCAGTTCATCATTTCTGAGAATCCGAAAATCGTTCTTCTCTTTCGCAACCCAAACTTTCTCTTCCTCTCTAATCCTACCAATAAATCATCTTCTTCCATTAGTAAAGAAAAAAAGTGTTCATCTCTGTATGTTTGTTTCTTCAATCAATCAAATCATGAGGTTTTGAAAATTGGTTTTCCCCAATCAGCATTAATCGGTATGAAGTCAAGTCTTCTGCAGTCATCATCTGGTATGTTTTGACAATTTCCAAATAAGAAACATGAGATGAATAGAAATGTTTAAATTGTTGATTGATCCTCTTGTCTGATTTTAAATAATTTGGGTGGAGAAGCAGAGGGAATTTGTTTATCATTTTGTGTTGTCTGTTATTGGTTTTGGATAGATTTGGGGATAAATTAAGGAGTTTGGTATAACGGTTTTTTTGTAGATCCATTGGAAGATTTGGTTTGGTGTTTAATTTGATACAAGTGGGCAAACTTTTTAGGTTCTCTCTACTCAATAAATTTCATGGCTTGTGTGGGAAACTCTTGGTTTTTATTTGTCAATTATGTGTTTTTCTTAAATATTGAGACATCGATTTGTGGTTGTTGTCTTGAGAGGGAACATAATCTTATGATTTAAATACTTGAATCTGATTTTGTAGAAACCTAAAAGTTTATACTTTCATTGATTTAATCTCCGATTCTGAGCAATAAGTCTATATTTGAGTTTGGTTTGTTTTTCAACGTCTTGGATTTGTAGTGTTTAAGGGATGTTGGCTTAAGTTCACGTCCACCTTTTCTTCCTAAAACACATGAAATGGTAGATTATTTCTTCTTTTGATTCAATTGTTTCTTGGAGTGATAACAACAAAAGTTTCATCGTGAAGAATCCAATGGACTATTCTAGAGACTTTCTTCCCATATTTTATTATTTTTGAAGCACATAAATTTCTCAAGTTTCATTCGTCAGTTTGATATATATGTAAGTTTTTCTACATATTTTTTACTCAAATTCAAAATAGCCTTATATGTCATCTACAACTAAACAAATTGTGCAGCTAATGTGACTTTCTTTTGAATATTACCGATTGAAACAATTTTTACAAAGTTTAACCTATGTTTGAATAATATGAATTACTACGCTCACAGAATTTTTTAAATAATTTGAAAACGTAAATTCATTAAGCACTATATTTGATTTAATTTTTTTATGTAAAAAAAACGACATTGCTGAAAAATCAAATAAATCCAAGGTAAAAAAAGCTATAATTACTGGTAGCCAACAAACTGCAACAAGTTTTTTTTCGTATAGTTTCCATGACCACAACGATTGTCTTCATTTATCGATATCTATTTTGTTTTTTCTAATATTCTAAAAAAGTTTTTATTATTTATGAAAAGGAGAATTAGCCCAATATTTCAATGACATCTAAATAATAATAAGCCCATTCATTTTAAACTATAAGCCCATAAAATAAGCTTTAAGAAATAAAAGAATGATGTGGAACAAAGGAGTATTATAATTGGCAGAAAATAACTGAGTTGTATTAATAAAATGTTTTCATTGGATGTTGATTTTAATTAGGTGTCACTCTCAGAACAGCTGAAAAAGCTGATGTGTCAACGTAGGAGAGATCCCTATTGTTTTTATTGTATTGATTAAATCAGTCTCGTTTAAAAAAGATTGTATAAAACCAAAAAGTGTCACGTGGTATAATGTTACTTAATAACAATTTTAAACTATAAAATATAAATATCTTAGAAAATTATACAATTTGCAAACTTTTATATATGATAAATAATCGTTAAATTTTAAAAATTACTACTTTTAGAAAACAAATCACGGGACGAGTTATATTTCGGAACGAAGTTATATGCTGGACGAGTTTGAATCAATATTTATAAAATTTTAAAATATCATTAACATGCCGCTTTAATACAGATTTAATCTTTAGTTTATTAAAATATAAATGTCTTAGAGAATGATATGATTTGTAAACTTTTATATATAATAAATAATCATTAAATTTTAAAATAAAAACAAATCACGGGACGGGTTAAGAAATTACGGAACGGCTTATATTTCGGAACGGATTTATATGGCAGACGAATTTGAATCAATATTTATATACTCCCTCCGTCCCACATAGATGTATTTTTTAGAAATTTCACATTCTTTAAGAAATTATGTATAATGACAATTTTAACCTTTTAACCTTTTAACACATTTTAAATAATATATTATTTATTATTATTTAATAAGGGTAAAATAGGTAAACAGTTTTAAATTTGACATTGGAAATACAAAACTTCTATCTTTGTGGGACAAATTTTTTTTCTAAAAAATACATCTTTGTGGGACAGAGGGAGTATATCATTAACATGTCGCTTTAATACGGGTTAAATCCTCAGTTTATTAACAATTGTCTCGTAGATTCGTGGTATACCGTTACTTAATAACAATTGTAAACTATAATATAAATAAATATTTTATAAGAAAATACAATTTACAAAATATTTTTATACTAACTTTAAAAATAAATCATCCCGCGGTGTACCGCGGGTAAAAATCTAGTTTAATATGTATAACATTTAATATATATATATATATATATATAGTGTTACAAAACATTTATATATATATATATATTGATCTTTATTATGTATTTCTTAAATTTTCTGTGAAAACAATTGAAAAATATTTATTAAATAGCTATGATATATACAGTTTTGATAAATACTTGAAAACAAGTAATATTATAAGATGGCTGTTTTACAAGAAATATTATAAAAAAACGTTAAAACGGGAAATCTAAATAATCTTCTTTCTATTCAAATAATTAATTTATTATAAAATATGGAAAATAATGAATTTAATTTGTTCTTTTACTTCAAATTTCGTTTTTCATTTTTTTTTTTAAAACAAGATGTTTAAAAAAACTAGTAAAATCATGATAGAAATATGCATAGTAGATGCAGGAAAATAGTAATTAATAACCACAAAGTGTATGTTACCCCTACTTAAAAATGATTTTCAAAAATATATAATAATCCGTTATTCGGTTTTTTTTAAAAATTTCCATTGATGTATGTCAATCCGTAAGTTGACCATGTATGATACTAGTGATTACTTTATACTCATTTTATTGGTGGTACTGGTACATGATTTCTGGAATTTATTGCTTCTTACTCTATTAGTTAGGACCCTAAGATAAAAATCTGATTGATTATCCCACAATCAATTACCTAAAATTACAGAAAATAAATTGAAACTAATCTTAAAATCAGATATTAAGTTTTTTTCTTCCCGCATGAGAAAAATCTCATCACACCAACAAAAACAGTTGTGGATGTTGCGACATACTTAGTGAGATTTTTTTTTTTTTTTTCAAAGCTCTCTTTTTATTAATGGGCTTGCAAATCTCACTCTTCTTCATCTGTTCATCTCGATTTTTGTTTTCAACTTGATTATTTTCTGGTTCCGATCCTCGAATTTTCCGCATATTTATGGTGAGGATGTCTTGTTCTTTCGTACGTTATAATTTGTTGTTAAAGTTTTCGTACATTATATTGTTATTAAGTTTCAACAACTATTTATCACCATTCATTCCACATACATACACATACTACATAGAAAACTTATTCATTATCCGCACAAGCATACCCTAGTCTCTCTCCTTTGAATATACTTGGTATCAGATTCTTGTAATGGCTTTTTCTTTTAATTTGTAATATTTTCTTTTTTGTAAACAAGTTTAAGGTAGTGTTACATCATAAGATCGACTTAGGGATATACTATCTTAGTTTGATTGAGAACTTGAAAACTATTAAATATTTTATAATTGTAGAATCATTTTGAAACTTAATCGAAATCACATTATATCAGAGTCCGAAATAGAAATTAACGACCAGAAAATAGAAACATACTATATGTATATGCATAGCTATTTGTGGAAGAAGACTGAAATAGAAACGACCAAACCAATAGCTTCAGGTCACAATAACCTGGTCACCACCATGTCTACGAAACCTAAAGTCACAATTATTTATCAAACAATAATAGAAGAAAGCAATCTAAAAAAAAAACTAAATCAATAAACAAAATATGCAAAGAAAACAAATAGTATAGTTACATAATGATTCTTACCAATTGGAGTTGCAAAGTACAGAAGACAACCTTCTTCTCCATCCAACGGTTAGCACTCATTTGGCATTTAAACTCATAATTCTTGTTTGTTTTTTTTTTGTTTGCTAGTTTTAATAGTATAACTAGATTTATGACAACTACTAATGTTGCCGTCGTACGATCTAGAGACAACCTATTATTATAACATGTGCACATCCAAGTGAAAGCATCAGACGGTCAAAGAAACTCATGGGGTATTCTCGTTGTCCATCAGTTCATATTAAGAAGATAAAAAAATAAAGCAACACAAAAAACTTTGGGAACTTTAGTCATTTATTGACTGATGTTGATAGTAAATGTTTATAATAATATAGGCTTTCATGTTTTCTTTTCTCCTTTCTTGTATACGTTTATGTTTGTTTATATGTAACATAGTACATAAAATTTTAGTATTTTCGAATGTATTTTCGTAAATCGTAAATGTAAAAGCCAAATGCAAATAGAAGTGTTTTTTTTTTTCATTTCACATTTATATTTATAATCGATAATAATAGTTGACGATTATAAATTTTAACATATAAACGTTTTTACCCAAACATATAAAATACATTTTAAACATGGGAGATTGACACAAATAGCCCCAAAAAAGTTGTTTTTTCCAAAAATAGCACCTCATTTGAAAAGTTCCAAAAATAGCACCATAAACTTTAATTTAACTTAATGAAAATATAAGATAGAAAATAAAAAAGAGAGCAAACACTAATCTAATATTAAATTGAATCAAAATTGTTTTTAAATAGTGGAAATATATACCCTAATTTGGAAATAGGGAACCCACATATAATACCACAAACTAATATTAAAATAAAAATCTCTTTTAAATGGTGGAAATATATACCCTAAATTGGAAATAGGGAACCCAAATATAATACCATAAACTAAAATTAAAATGAATCAAAATCTCTTTTAAATGGTGGAAATATATACCCTAAATTGGAAATAGAGAACCCAAATATAATATTTTAAATTTATTTCTAATTTATTTTGTTGAATAGCTTTTATATAAAAATTGTGGTATTATTGAAAATAAAACTAGTGATAAAATTTTTAGAACAAAAATACTAATAGTAAGTTAACTAGTGCTATTTTTGGAAGTTTATGGAGTGTGTGCTATTATTGTCAATAAAACTTGTTTTAGGGCTATTTTTAGGAATTTCTCTTGAAGGATCATATAAAACTAGAAGAATATAATGAATCTAGAATAACTCGATTTAGAAAACTTTTATAAACATACCAAATATCACATCAAATTCAATGTTTTTTATAGTTGCAACTAAAACAGTGATAACATATAAGTCTTTTTTTTTTTCCCCTGGAACAGTAATAAACATGTTTTTAATGCCATAGAAGCAGCCAAGCAGGTTGAGCAGAATGAATTAACATCATCACCTATGAAAAAAAAAAAAAACATAACATTATCTCTATTAATTAGAATGGAGACATGCGAGACAACTGCGAAAAAAATGTAATGCGATTAAGTGTAGATGGATATTAGTGTTGCAATGGCACCATGCGGAACGTTCATCATTTGAAGCCTAAGAATCACGTCTACTGAATCGTTTATGACTGTTTTTGGTTGTCTTTTCCTAATTGTTGGTCATATTTAAAGTTTGTGTAAACTAGGTCTATTGATTGGTAACCAAAAGGTGTTCAATTTTTTTAGCTGTAAGCTTTACCGGAATAGTGCAAAGCTGTAAGACAGAGCTGTACAAAAAAACTGAGAGTAAAACTGTTAGTAACGCTTTTGATAAATTAAGTTTTTGTGATTGATAACTGTCAAAGTTATACACGTTGTACTACTTTGATAATGGGTTACCATTGAAAGCCGTAGTGAAAAGAAAGAAAAGAAAGGTCGACAAGGTATTGGACAAAGATTAATACGAAGAAGAGTAAAGTTAATGAAGTTTGGGAAGGAGTACCTGACACTTGTTCTATCCATGGGAGCTTGCCACGTCAATCTCATTGTCTTTGGACTTGAGACAAAATACCATGGGACATGGGTGGGCCATTCGGTTATTAGTTTCGGTTAAGAGATTTTCTTGGTTTTGTATTCAATTTTATTTTCTAATAGACCTAAAGTATAACACTATTTCGACTGGTTAAGTGACTAAGTGAAAGTGGTTTAGAAAGAAAATAAGATTTTATTATGCTAGGATATGGAGAAAATGCAAAACTGTTTGGATAAAAACTTCAATGCTGAAATAACATATAACGTATCTTTTAGTCACAAGTGAATAGTTTTCTCAATAATCTAAAACATAAAATAAATTCTTTTTTTTTTTTTTTTTTTTTTTGTAAACCAAACATAAAATAAATTCATCCAAAAAAGAATATGATGATGAGGAAATATGATTATTTGTAAAATATATAAAAATTCAAGACCCTGTTTTATTTTATTTTTCAATTGTCCTTTGGCATTATAAGCCTCTCCATTCTGGGAACTTTGAAAAATCAATCACATCAGGGCTCAGGCTCAGTTATCTTTTACTCAACCAATAAGTTGCTTGTATCAAAAAAGTGTTGGTTTCTATTACCACTACCAATATTAATGTATAAATAAATATACACAGTATTCTCTTTCATATTTATAATCACATGTTTTTTTTTTTTTTTTTTTTTTTTTTTTTTTTTTGGTAAAAGGTTAAGAATTATAATCACATGTTGTTATATTTTCAAAACCATATTTAACTCGTAACGAGGTCAAGCTCAAATTATGATATGGTGCTCATGAGTGACGGATCTAGTTTTTTTTATAGACATACGTGTTTAAGTGGTTTTATTGCATTATTCTATATGATCGGATTTGATGATCGATTAAAGATGTAGTATTATGTAAGCAAAACTATTATAAAAGTTGAAATTATATAATTACAAAAAGGTAAAAACAAACAGAAAAGTTGGTAAAAATTAAAGCAAAGGTCATACACTTGAAAGCGATTTAAAGGGTCTATTGAATTGTGACATTAAAGTGAGACCAAAACCATACAGTAGCTTATTATTGGTTACCTTTTCAAAACAAAGAATCTATCTTTACCCACCAACTCCAGATTTAAGGATCATGCATTCATGCTCATTGGTAAATAATTCCTTCTGTAACATTAATATGATTATCTTCGGAGAAAAAGTTTTGACGTCACATAACTAGAGATTTATCACTATCAAATTTTGGATTTAAGTGACAAAAGGTCATTAGTAGATTAACATATTTTGATTTGTTTTTCTAGAACAATTACATCTCTGTCTCTTCTACTACTGGACCCAACCATCATGATACTAGAAATGACCATTGAGAGGCAAGAACCTCACAGTCTTTCTTTTTCTCTATCTCTCTCAAAGCTATAAGACATTTGACACCCCAAAACCAAAACACAAAGCTTTATATGCTGTTCTGTTCTGTTCTCCAATGTTGTCATCAGCAAAGCATAATAAGATCAACAACCATAGTGCCTTCTCAATTTCCTCTTCATCATCATTATCATCATCATCATCATCATCATCATCATCAACATCATCCTCCCTAGGCAAGAACAATTCTCAAGTCACTATGGAAGAAGTGTGGAAAGAAATCAACCTTGGTTCGCTTCACTACAATCGCCAACTAAACATTGGTCATGAACCAATGTTAAAGAACCAAAACCCTAATAACTCCACCTTTCAAGATTTCCTCAACATGCCTCTGAACCAACAACTACCAACACTACCACCTTCTTCTTCCTCCATTGTCACTGCTCTCTACAGCTCTCTGCCTCTTCCTCCTCCTGCCGCAGTCCTCAGCTTAAACTCCGGCGTTGGATTCGAGTTTCTTGACACCACAGAAATTCTTGTTGCTTCTAACCCTCACTCCTTTGAGGAATCTGCAAGATTTGGTTGTCTTGGTAAGAAAAGAGGCCAAGATCCTGATGAAAGTAGAGGAGACAGAAGGTATAAACGAATGATCAAGAACAGAGAATCTGCTGCTCGTTCAAGGGCTAGGAAACAGGAATGTGTCTCTCTTTACTCTTCTACTTTCCAATTCTTGTGAATCAAAAGGAAAAGAAACAGAATCTAGAGTTAAATCTACAATTTCTCTGTATTAAAATTGGTATATGGATCTTTCAGGCATATACAAACGAACTTGAGCTTGAAATTGCTCACTTGCAGACAGAGAATGCAAGACTCAAGATACAACAAGAGCAGGTAAAACTAGCACTGAGTTCTTGTTTTAATGCCTTAGTTGAAGTATAATTCTATCTTAAGAAACTTGTTCATTACTTGCAGTGACTTTATCTTACATTCTGTTTGTCTTAAGGACATTGTGAGTGTAAGATTCTGCTACTTAAGGCCAATTTGTTTATCTTTCTGTTTTTGGAAAATACAGTTGAAAATGGCGGAAGCAACTCAAAACCAAGTAAAGAAAACACTACAACGGTCTTCGACAGCTCCATTTTGAGAAAAATCTACAAGTCCTTTCTCTTTCTTTTCGGGGGAGTGTTAAGTGTTTCTTATGAAGATGAGAAAAACAGAAAAAGTTTGTACATTTTAGCTAAGAAGTTAAATTTGTGGTGGTAAGTAATGTAAGGAGTGTGTAGAAAAAGAAAGCAACTAACTTTCTTCTTCTTCTGTGGTTTCCTATCAACTCTTTTGACTTTTGTACTTTTTTTTTCCTCTACTTAACCTCTATTATTGTAATGCCAAGTCAAGTCCTTGTCTAGCTAGTACATGAGTTTCTGCTTTCACTGGTTAAGCCATTACTGCACTGTATTGTCAGATGAAGATAAGTCTTGATGATGATGCTAAGATGATTCTTTCTTGGTTGACTTCTTTTTGTGTATGCTTTATTAGCAACCAGAAACATAGACACAAAATAAACACCTTAGAGAAAATTTGGTGGCAACTTGGGCCATGAATTTGCTCACATTCTAATGGCTCTTTTGGTTGTCAATCCAAGACTTTGAATCCTAGCAGTTTCTGCTTATAAGTTTTACCTGAATTTAACTCCAATGTAAAGCTCAACAATGTTCTTTTTGTGGATTAAAGACAACTTTAAAGATTCTACAAGCAGAAAGCAGTATACAAGTTGGAATAATTCATCGGTATATCTGAAAAGTTAAAACTGTTTTTTAAGTGTGGAACAGCTTGCTTACTTCATTCTGATCCAATAATATTTGTTCTTCTGATGCATCACCTTCTTCCTCAAGCATTTGGAACCAATCTTAAGGAATAACAAAAATCTAAAGGGATAACAACAATAGTTACAATATGATAGAGCTGAATATCAACATGTTATTCAGAATAAATTCCTTAAACTTTATTTAGCAGGAAGCACATGAAAAATGGAAAAAGAATCAGCTATCTTGAATTCTTGATCCTCAATTTTAAGAAAATAAAATCCTCAACCACCAATAGTTATATGAACAAAACATTATCTTTTGAGGTAACATGAAAAAACTCATCTTTTTTTCACAACATGAAAACTTATCTATCTGCACTGAAAGTTTCATATTATAACTTATAAATTCAACCATACATGTTTTTTTTCTTCTTCAAAAGGTCTACTGTTTACATTGATTTGTCACCTAGATAATCACATATTGCATGTAGTATAGAGTAAGGAACGTTCTAAAATCTCTATGGAGTATTTTTCCAAAACTAATACGTTAAATCTCGATGTCAACAATGAAATTAGAAGATTCATTTCATCATAATTTTGTTTCGTGTTGGACAAGTCTCATTCTTCCATGAACTGAGGTGTTGGTGGACTCATTTCCTTATTACTCTTCTCTGTACCTGCTTGATTTATTATTAAGATTCAGGAATTTAAATCGATGTAAAGAAATGTTAATCTATCTGTAAATGTATATATTTTACCGTAAGAAGCTCGATGAATCTCGACTTCTCTCAGTTCTTGGACAAGTGCACAACAACAACACATTAGATGTGACAAAAAGTCGTCAATGCACCCTCCCTGCAAAATCAAGACATCCATAAAAAACCTTAGCATCAAGACCTTAAAAAAGTATTGATGGTGATAATCAAAGGTTTAATTAATCGATGTACCGTTATGTTCAGTGTCTTTCGAAGCTTCTTCCTTATGCAGCAAGTATAGCAACAGCATGAGAGTATCAAAGAATACACCATTAGGTTCTTACACGCTTCAGTTGAAGCTGGAAAGCCATAAAATCAAAATTGTTGTATCAGATTCTTGGAAGCTTATAGATTGAAGATTAGAACAAATAGTCTTCATTCATATAAGATTTCTTACAGATTTTCCTGTTAGTTGCCACAGTGGAAATCTTTGCCAATGTACCACACGGGAAAAAGAGTGTCTTCAAGCCTTATTTTACAAATTCAAAAGTAGATAAGTATGAATCTTGAAGTGTCATTGAACATTTTTTGATAATCAGATTAGATAAACAAACAGAAGGAGAGGGCTTACATAGACAAGGTTCTGAACAACAATCCAGCAAGTCTGCGTGCCAATTTTCATGGTGTTGCGATGATCTTCCCGAAAGTAGTTCATGTCCGGATGAAACATAAGACGTTGATCTACATATTCAACCATTAGACACCAACTAAACATTAGCCTTCAATATAATCACCAAACGTGAACAATACATTTTGTGAAGTAAAGGAATATTTTCATCGACATCGGAGTAATGGGGATTAACCTTGAAGTTGTTTGAATATCGCTATCCGTGTCATACAAATCATCTTTCTTCTTGCTATAGGTAAGCTCTTCTTTCTTAGTCAAAACCTTTTCAAGATCAGGTTCAACAGAAGAAGCAGCAGTTTGTGTAACATCAATCAGACGTTGTATAACTTCACATTGATCTGCATCATACCGCGCCCGCGAACGATGTAACTCAAGTTGCAGTTTCTCCTCCTCTGTTTTAAGCGCTTCGCAGAACCCCATGTTCGGGTAGGATCGAGAAAGCGTCTTCTTTAAAACCGATGTAGCTGCTTCTCTAGTAGATTCTTGTTTCAAAATAACATCTTGCACCTTTTTATCCTCTTCATCAAGAGTGTACTCGCGCTGATCACGTTCAATAGCTTCTAACCTCTCCTGCATAACAAATCATATTAACAAAGGCAACAAGAAGAAGAACAAGAAACTAGTAAACAAACAATGCAAGCCAATTTACCCGAATCCGAGCATTATCCGCCATATTTATGAGTGGAACGATCTTAAGAAACAGATCAATCTCGGTCTGAGCTTTTTCAAACTGGTTAACAATGTTCCATCCCATAGCCAACAAGTAAAGATAACTCTTTTCTTGACAACTTTTGACTAAAATGTAAGATCTTCTAAGAGCATCATCAAGTCCTTGAAGCGGCTCAAGAATCTCTGAACGTTGATTCATCTCAGAGTTTTTTATCTGCTCTAGCAAATTACGGATGAGCTTAAGATGGTGAGCGAATTGACGACAATTCTTCTTGTGCATTCGAGCTGTATTCGCAGCGTTTACTATCATTCCAATCAGTTTCAAAGCGTCTATGCCTGTAAGCTGAGCCACTGACGCAATTTCTCCTAACTGATCCCATGAATTAGCCATTTCTCTTCCTACTAGGACCAAAACAGCTCAAAAACTTTAACAAAGGTAAATGTTGAGACCAAAAAAAGCAGAACACAAGAAAGTTTGAGACTTTACCTCACTGTGAGCAGATTCTGACTATCAGAAAGCAAACAAAGTTTGAGACTTTACCAAGGGATCACATTATGGTTCGACTGTGACAACAAAGCAACAAAGAAGACAAAGTTTAGTAAATTCTATAGGTCCTCAAGCTTTCTCTACGTTAAAGATCTTCAAAACAGAGAACATTTTAAGAATTTTTTTTTAAAAAGGCATAAAAATGAAAATTTCTTTGTTTTAAGTGTAAACTCATCGGAGAAAAAAGGTTTTTTGGGGAGTGAAATCAAAGGGAACAAACACGGAAATCAGAGAAATTTAGAAATTATTTTAAGAGAGGAAACAGTGTTGAAATGCTTGACCTCATACGTTGAAGAAGTCAAGAATTACAGAGAAGGTTCTCTTGTGGAAGTTATTTGTCTTGGGATGAGAGGTCAAAGAGATTATCCAGAAAAAGAAGAAGATAGTGGACTAATGCTCAATGAGAACACGAGTCACGAGTGTTTCGGTGATGGTTTGGTCGTATTATCGAATATGGATTATTCTTTTTTTTTCAGTGCTTGCACGAGTTGCGAATTACGAAATGGCCATGTGTCACTCTCCATAATTACAAAATCTACCACGTCTAACTTACACACTGAATAATAATCGTGGGCTTCGATTTCTGGACTATCAACCAAAGGCTAACAATGAATCATTCAAACCAAATCTTTGTTAGTTTTTCCTCGAACCAAATTTTTTGTTAGTTTCCATTTTATTATTAAAATAAATATCTCGATTTTCATGATTTCCATAGATCGTCGATCTTAATAGATTTACGTTCTCCTAATAGTTTTATCGACCATTTTCTAGATCTTCTTTCAAGAGCACAAAGGTACTTTCCATCGACCATTTTCTACTTGTCTACTTGGTTTGAGGTGTTCCAAGTTTAGAATTGTTTGTTAGACTGGTAAGTTGGTAGTAGGTAAGCTTAAGCTTAGTAATTTCCCTTTGTTGTTGTTTTTTAGCTGGGTTCAGCTTGTAATCTTTTTTAACTAATGAAAATTTAAAGTAAAAAAGAAAAGAAAAAGTATACAAAATGGTTCTAATTTCTATTTAAAATTTTATGGGCCTGCTTTTGGGTCTTATTGTCCATGTAAAGCCTGTATCGTCAAATAGAAGAAAAGTACACCGTTTAGTGCTATTCTTGTTGCCAAACATACCTTTAGTTCGTTATTAAAGCCATAACCTTTTTCTATAAATAACGAAGCAACGAGGTAAACGAGAAAAATTCTGGATCGGAGAGAGCTTCGAAGCCTGGGAATTTTCGTTACCTCCTTCGTTCTTCTCTGATCTTGAATTCTATACCAAATTCTTGCATCTCCCGATTTTGATTTTCTCATCACTATGTCTGGATAACAAAAGCCCCCAAAGTAAAACCCAATTGCGAAACCAATCTAGGGTTTCGCGAGTTCGTCTCTGAGTTTGTTTGTGATCGTGTGAGATGTCTCGGTGTTATCCGTTTCCACCACCTGGTTATGTTTGGAAAGAAAGTCTGATCGAATCGATCAAGGTTGGTTTGTTGAGCAATTTAAAAGTCCATGGCTTTGGTTCTTTTTTATGTTCTGGGTTCATGTGATTTTTTAATGCTCAGCTTCCTTGTTCTTTGATTGTGATAATCTTATGTCAAAGTTGAAAACTTGATCACCATGATACAAAGATAAAGTGTAATTTGAATCTGCAATGTAGATGTGAATTCAAATCTTACTTAAAAACTCGACTAATGTATGTCAAAAGCATGAAATTAAACATCTATAGCCAATGTCAAAACGGGTACTTTTGGTGTTTTTGTCACCATATTACACTAGTTGATGTAAGTAGTTGCTAGTTATGCATTCTTTGTGCTGTTTCTTTCTCTGCTTCTTTGCCCCTTTGGAGTTTTACTGGATAAGCAAATTAATTGTTGTTCCTTGACCTTCCATTGGTTTGGAAATCCAGGGGGCAAAGGAGGAAGTTAAGAAAGATAGAAAACACAAGAGGAAGGATAAAGAGAGAAAGGATAGGGAGAATGAGGCGGGTCGAAGCAGGAAGCATCGGCATAAGAGACGGCGCAAAGATGAAGGCACCAATGCTAGTGGTAGTGGCAAATTAATAAATAGTGAGGTCGAATTTTTAGAGAAGAGCTGCCAGACAGTGGAGCTTGAGCTTCAAACATCGTCTCAGACTTCTTGTGATAGTACTCTTCATAGCAATGAGAGACCAAAGCAAATTCAGAGTCAGCCCCTTGATGGTAGGCATAACGACTCTGGTGAGCTTGTTTGTGTTTACTTGTTGTTGTGTCTGTTTGCTTATGGTGTCATTCTTTCTTGGTTTCAAGAAACCAGCATACGGACCCGGTTACATGACAAAGGGCAGGAAGATCCTGAGGATGAGGTGATGATGACCAGCAAGGATCAAAAACAGCGCTTTTCCCGGGAAATGTTAGATGCTTCTCTGGCTGCTGCTCCTAAAGAGTCTGTTGGTCATCTTTATTCGACTACACAAGATGCTTTAAGGGTCTGTGAAGAGAAGAGAAGAGATTCAAGTTTTGGTTCGTCGAGAAAGATCACAACAAAACTCAGCAAAGAGAAGAAATCAGTTCCTTTGAAAGATAACAGAAAATTCAGTAAAGAGAAGGTGTCATCATCATCTTTATTTACTCATCCGGAACAAGAGAAACCGTCCTCTAGTCATCAAGATTCCACCGGACCTTCCAAGCTATTATGCAGGAAATGCCCTCCTTCCATGGCCGGGCAACTCTTGAATCTTATCGAGAACTGGGCTCCTGATCGAGTTGAGAGCAAGCTCGCCGACTCTGAAGATCAAGAATGGTGGTTGTTCATCAAGTTTGGAGCCAAAAGGCAACAAGTTAGCAATCAGAAAACCAACCAGGGAAGTAGTTCGATGGTGTGGCCAACTGCTCGATTTCTTCCGGAAGCCGAAGTACACGCATTGCCATTCACTGTCCCATTCTGATTTCAACAAAGTTGGTCGAGAGAGAGTGGTTAACATGACCAACATATAGTTTTCCTATGTATTTTAGATAGCCCTTAAAACTTAAAACTCAGAATATAAATGTGTGATTCTTTGTAGATGTACTGGTAATATAGTAAATCATTAATTACACGAGAATGGTAAATATATGTACTGGTTAGATCTATATTATTAATTGGGAATCACTAAATATTAAATAACTTTACGAAGAGTAAAATATTACAAAAAATGCCATTGGTTTTTAGTGTTTTTAAATATCTGCATTAAGGGTACAATAACAATAGTAATCACAAAATTAATATATTTAAATAAAAATAGTTTAATTCTTTTAAATAATTATTAATTTCCAAAAAAATAAACTAATTTTCTCTCTCTTATTAATTATAAACGAAAATTTGAAATTAATTTTTAAAAAATTGTTAACCAATAAGAATTGAAAAACTAAGATTTGATATTCAACTAAGATTTTATCTAAACCAATTGTAATAGACTATTCTATATCAAAATAAAAAGAAAAATAATATCATTTTAATTCAAAATTAAAAACACTATCGTTTAAAAGATTTATCAATGGAGGACTTTTAGATTAAATTTAAAATTTCGTAAGAATTAAATACAAATATATTAAGATTCAGTTTTGTTATAATATTTTCACAAATTTTAAAATATAAAACAAAATTTTATTTCAAAATTTCTAAAATACGATATTAGATATTAACAACTATTTATATTTATGATGAAATAAACTCAAATAATAATAAATTTAAAGTAATTATCATTATAACCTTCGTTTAGAGCAAGTTTGATAAATATCTAACAATAGATTGTAAATATTAATTTTTAAATTATTTTGCGTTTTATTTTTTGTTTTCAACCGGATCTTCCTTAAATAAATCTCTAATATATTGCACACAGTTTTCAAATAATGTAAACTAATTATATATTTTGAATTCAAAACAAATTATGCAGCAATAGCATATCCCTTTTAGAGATGTATCTCAAATTTTTATTTTTAGTCCAAATATCAAATTAATTATGATTAAACAATAAAAAGAAGAATATGCAAAATTTAGCTAAGGAAAGAAACATTAATAAATTTGTTAAATATATTTGTAACTTTAGCAGCATATATATTAATCTGCAAAACTCACAGTATGTATTGTATGGTATTTAAAAGTAAGCAAACAAGAATTTGGAACATGATTTTAATGGAATGAAATGAGTATAGAAATTATGAGACGGGATGAGAGGGGAACATAAATTGAAAATCAAACTAAATACCCAATTGGTATGAGTTCAGGTTATGAGCACTATATAAAATAAATTTGTATACATACATAACCCTATGCGTACGTTTTCAGTTACACATATTCTATTTATGCCGGATACTGGACCGTCATATTTTTATTTCACGTATACGAGACGGGTTATGGGACCAAGAATTTATGACAGATACAGGACGGGATAGGTTTCCCGTTCTAAAATAGTTACGCCTAGCTAATATACATGAAATAACCAAACTCAAACCGAATCTATATCCTATTTAACACATGTAATCAAACTATTAGAAATGTTTTGATTAGTTTAGAAAATAAAAAAGTAACATCATTTAACTTTTGCAACTAAATTATATCTTAGTTTTATCTTAAATATAATTTCACACGTACGTGTAGGTCCGAATCTTAAAATATACTATGCACTAACGCAACTGAATTTCGTTCATTACTCTAATTTTATAATATTTATACTATTATAAAGTTCACTAACACAACAAAATATTTTATATTTTTAAAATCTATATAATAATTTCTATAAAAATATCTCTGCACGTACGTGTGAATCCAGATCTAATACACTAAAATATATATCATAGAAACAATAAATAATCTATATTGAATTAAAATTTGTTAGAACTTTTTTAAAAATATGAAACCCTGCACGTATGTGCGGGTCATGATCTAGTAAATTACACGAGAGTTCAGAGTATCGACTTCCTGCACTTCAATAGTAAATCTGGTTTACGGTCTTGCTAAACCAATGGAAACTATATATAATTCGATTTGGTTCGATTTTAATCAAAAGTAACTCAAAAATATTTTTATTTTTATTAAAATACATCTACTGAAAAGTATAAAAATTGAAATAAATTTAGTTTATTTGGTTCGGTTTAGTTCCAAATACACTAGAATCGATTTCGGTTAAAAATTCGGATTTTATTCGGTTTGGTAAAATAGACTATGGACCGTTAGATCTAAAGTTAAGTAGAGAAACATCGAACGGTGGATAGCGAGGAAAGCGTACACGTGTGAAGCATGACATAATTTTCCCATCCAAAGACTTTCACAAGGTCGTTTTTTTTGACAAACGAAAGAAACCTGAAAAGTGAGAAACCCAGAGATCGAGATTGAGATTTAGAGAAGAAGAAGATGATCGCAGACGGATCAGAAGATGAAGAGAAATGGCTCGCCGCCGGTGCTGCTGCTTTCAAGCAAAACGCATTCTACATGCAACGCGCTATTGTAAATTCTGCTCTTCCCCTTTACTTCTTCTGTTCGTTTCTTCGTGACTATTTTCATTGAAATTGAGAAATTTCCAAATTTGTTTGGCACTTTTCATAGATGTTTAGAATTGAATGGAAACCCTAATTTTGATTTTGGCAATAAAAATTGTATCTTGTTTTTGGTTAATTAGGACTCGAATAATCTGAAAGATGCTCTCAAGTATTCGGCTCAGATGCTTAGCGAGTTACGGACTTCGAAGCTATCACCACACAAGTACTATGATCTCTGTGAGTTGTTTCCGTCTTCTGATCTGCCATGATCATATATGTTTCGCCTAATTTGACTTTATAGGTTTTTCTTTGTGTGATCTGATTTGATGGTTTTTTTAGATATGCGAGCTTTTGATGAATTGAGGAAACTTGAGATTTTCTTTTTGGAAGAAACTCGGCGTGGCTGCTCGGTCATTGAACTCTATGAGCTGGTTCAGCATGCTGGTAACATATTACCACGTTTGTAAGTTACTGATACATTCCCGCTCTCTTGTCTGTTACTATGTTTTGGCAAGTTCTTTTTATCGATCGTGCCTTTGTAAAATGGATAATGCCCAGTTTTAAAGATCATTTTTGTCCTTCTTATTCTTAGTCTAAATTGGTATAATCTTATAGATGGTTAATGGTTTATTTGATCACTACTTATGTTGCTAGCATTTCTTCAGATATTTGTTTTGTTCACTTCTCTAGCTAAAAGTACTATCTGTTCATTTTCTTTTTCCCTTCCCTAGGTATCTCCTATGTACAGCAGGATCCGTTTATATCAAAACCAAGGAAGCTCCTGCCAAGGAAATTCTTAAAGATCTTGTTGAGATGTGTCGTGGGATTCAGCATCCTCTACGTGGTCTCTTCTTGAGAAGTTACCTTGCGCAGATTAGTCGAGATAAATTACCTGACATTGGTTCTGAGTATGAAGGGTAAGCACGTAGACACTATTATTCGGTTTCTTCATAGCAGCTCGGACTTGCATGGGGTTCTTGCTTGTGCTTTAATTATCTTATGACGTCATTTAGGATGTTGGCTATTAATTAAAATCATTTTGATTCATCTTGTTGGTGACTCGTTTTCGAATCTCTACAGAGATGCTGATACAGTCACAGATGCTGTGGAGTTTGTACTACTGAACTTTACTGAGATGAATAAACTCTGGGTCAGAATGCAACATCAGGTGAGTTATGATTCAAGATTGTTATACACCCTTCTACTCATTTTAGAAATGAGCTTGCCAGAATGTTTGCACTTCATGGAGATATAATTGGACTATGAGAGCATGATTCTGATCATGCAGGTGTTGTATTGCTTGTGAATCATTACCCTTTGATGATCCTGAGTTGAGGCTTGCTATCGGGCTTTCTGGTCTGCAGGGACCTGCTCGAGAAAAGGAGAGACGGGATAAAGAGAGGGGCGAGCTTCGTGACCTTGTAATATGACTTTCTTACAGCTGGTAACAGTGTACTGAAGTGCCTACCATTTGTTTTGTACTGACGGAAGCGTACGTTTTCCCTCACGTATTAGGTTGGAAAGAACCTTCACGTGCTGAGTCAGTTAGAAGGTGTGGACCTTGATATGTACAGAGATACAGTTCTTCCTAGAGTCTTAGAGCAGGTAAAATATTATATCCTATAAACACACTTACACATGCAAACTTAACTTATTCCCTTACCAAAAACTAATGTTTGTCTTATGATTTCTCAGATAGTGAACTGCAGAGATGAGATTGCCCAATATTACCTAATAGACTGTATCATTCAAGTTTTTCCTGACGAGTATCACTTGCAGACTCTAGATGTACTTCTTGGGGCGTGTCCACAACTTCAGGTAGTCTGAGTAGCTCTCTCATAGTTAGCACTTAGCAGTATGCTCTGCTCCCAATCATTTAATTTTGGCTGCAACTGCACTTCTCAGGTTTTTTTATGTCAGTGGTTCACTAACCTCCTGTTTCTCTCACTTTCTCTCTGATTTTCTTCTCAGCCATCAGTTGACATCATGACAGTGCTTTCCCGTTTAATGGAGAGGCTGTCAAATTATGCTGCCTTAAATGCTGAAGTATTACCTTACTTCCTGCAAGTGGAAGCTTTCTCAAAGTTGAATAATGCAATTGGAAAGGTAGCCTTTACGTGTATGTAGGCTGTGAGTCCAGTTGCACTTTTGTTTCTGTAAAAAAGTATGAAAGTAATGACAGCTTAGAAATCATGTTGACTGGACTTGGTAGCATCACGAAAGACTTGGAGAAGGCACAACTGTTTTTTTTGCTTGACATTTCTTTTTTAAGTGAAACTCTTCACTTTAGACGATTCCATCAACATGTAGAAAGATGCATTGTTCTTTATGTGTTGGATGTATCCGCTGCAAAACGTGACCCTTTTTAACACAGTTTTGCATATTTGTTTACTTCTTAAATTATGTGTTTTTGACGCCTTTTTTCTTCGATGAAAAAAATTTCTTAGTGGAAATACTATGATGTTGCAGGTGATAGAAGCACAAGAAGACATGCCTATTCTGAGTGCAGTAACCCTATATTCCTCCCTTCTCAAGTTTACTCTTCATGTTCACCCTGATCGGCTTGATTATGCGGACC